CAGTGTCCGAATCGTCGCTGCTTTCGTCTAGATTCTCCTCCACATTCGAGTAACTGGTATCCCCCGAGGAGTTGCTGGACACATCATCCTCCTCCTCTTCATGAGGCGGCGGTACAACCTCATTGTATTGATGCTCCTGTTCCTGGTCCCGTGCCGCTCGTGTGCGATATGCAGGCGCCAGTGGTCCTACCGCTTGGCCCGTACCCGGTGGTGCGTTACGACGCCTGCCCGGTCGACCGGCGCCATTGGAGCGCGTATTCCGTGGCCGTCCAACGCTGCCGCCCGTCTGCTGCGCCGACGCCGCACTGGCAGTGTTGATCATAATGGGTCGACGTCTCATTTCACGCTTATACTCTTGCTTCTCGTACAGCCCTGCGGAGTAGCTCACTTGCTTGATGTTCTGCAGCTGAGCGTACTTCATGGGACGTACGTAGGTGCGACGCACAAACTTCAAGGGCTGCAGCTGCTGAGGCGAAACATGTTGGGCAGCTGCTGGTGCCTCGTCGGCAGCTGCTTCCTGGGCCACAGCAGGCTCTTCCGCAGGCGCTGCTGCTCCCCAGCCCTGACGTGGCGTACCCAAGCGTCCGCCTAAAACATTTCCGCGCGCAGATTGTCGACCGTTTGAGTCCGGCTGCTGCTGGCGGTTGGTCAAACGTTCAAATTGATTGGCATTCGATTCGTTGGCATTGGCACTACCAACCGACTGTCGATTAGCCAAAGCCGCAATCATGCGATCTATGTGAGAATAGTCTGCGGCTCCTCCTCCTCCTGCCGCAGCACCACCAGCAGCAGCAGCGGCGGCTGCAACCGCCACACTGGCAATCTGTGGCTGGGGATTCGCAGTCGCATTCAGATTATCCTCAATCCCCATACCATCCACACCGACATAAAGATTGGTTGTCAACTGATCATTGGTCCAGTCCTCACGGCCGGGAACGAAACGTTGATACTTGATGGGATGTGGATTGCCATCGGCATCAACGAGATTCGGTGGCTCCATCAAATGTGGCATTATTTGTGTCTGCTCATCCACCACATGATTCTGGCTATCGCGCACAAGCGGACGATAATCCGTGTGAAAGAAAAGCTCAGTGGGCAGCTAAAGGAAAATTTGAAAGTAGTTTAAAAATACATCTTGGAATGGCTTGGCAGCTGGCAAACACTCACCACTGAGTACTTATCCTTGCACATGCCCAGGCCAAAGATCATGATGTGCCCATGTGAATCGGTGGCAGCTATCATTGTGCCATCCGGTGACCACTTGGCATCGAACACACTGCCATGGCCCTGCCCGTCAATGTCATTGAAGAATTCGGTGATTTTGATGCCCTGTTCAATGTCCCAAAGGAACACCTGACCATCGTGGCCGGCGGAGAGCAGCACATGCTTATCCCTGGGATTCGATTCGAGGACATAAAGCTCATCCTTGTGACCGCGCAGCACGCGATGCAGCTTGGCTGTTTTTGAGTCCCAGATTTTGATCTGTGCGGATAGGAAAGAGATGAAAGTTGGAGTGGGTTCTGTGTGGAATCGTAAATGCAACTCACGGTGAAATCATTTACTGCCGTAATGACATAGGCATCCGAGGCGTCCCAAGCCACCATGGTGACCTTTAGTCTCTTGCCCTCTTCAGGCTCCGGGCAGCTGCAAAGGCAGAAAATGAGCTACAAATGGCAGAACTAGAGCATAATCGTTTGGGTAACCTACCTAGCCAGCCGTTCCGTCATGCACAGCTTGACGCTCTTCCACTGCTGCGACTCAAAGGTCCAAATGTGTGCAGTGCCATCCTTGCTGCCGGATATGAATCTCAGACCATGATGCGACCACTGCATCGAGTCCACGGCATCCGTATAGGCTTCTGTTTCCAGTATTCTTTTGGGCCCCTCTTCGCCCATCATGTAGACGCGTACGTGATGGTCCGCCGAGCCGGCAGCCAGAAACATGCCGCCCGGCGAAAATGTTGTGCACATCATCTGCGCCTGTCCTGGTCGCAGTCTCTCGTGGTACTGTGCGGGCTTGGGCGCAAATGTGATCTTCTGGCCCCGTGGCGTCGAGTATTGCCAGAAGGCAATGGAACCGTCTGTGCTGGTCGTCACCAAGTACCTTAAATCGTTGCGTGGCGATGGGCAAAAGTTCACCGATGTTATCATGCCCGTGTGGGCCACCAGGACAGCAATGGGTGAGGTGGTCTGCATATCCCACACACGCAGAATGCGATCCACCGATCCGGCCGCCAGCATTGTGTTGTCCAGATTGATGGCAATGTCTGTAATTTCTGCCGAGGCACCGCGCAGCGTGGCCAGCAGGCGTCCATCCGCCGCAGACCAAATTTTAATGAGCAGATCATCGGCTCCCGTGATAATATAACGTCCCGTGCGATCGAAGAGCACACAGTACACGGAGGATAGATGGCCCACGGTGCGGCGCAGCAGAACCGTCTTTTTATACAGCTCAGTGGGCACCAGGAGCTTGCGACGCACATCCCCGCCATACTCCCGGCCAGTCAGTACACGGGCTGAAAGGAAAGGATAAGTGTATTACTTTCAAATTGTTTTCAAAGGTTTAATTTCTCATGCACTTACTTATATTGTGGGTGCGCTTGGTATAATCTGCATCTGGCAGTGATACGTCATGGAGGCGAGTGCAGTAATCCCTGAGAGAACGATGGCTGTAGATGGTGTCCTGTGTACGCAGAAGGTTTTGCCGACCAGTGCCAAGGAGCGAAAATACGCCCGGTACACTGCCCGGATGTTGGCGTTCCACGAGCGGACATAGACGGCCGCATAATTCCAGCAAGTGATTGTCTCCAATATGCGTGAATTTTCGTTCCTGTCACGGCAAACAAATTCAAAATATTAACGATTTGTTTGTTTATCGAAGCACAGCGCACGCGATGAATCGAACGCAGCTGTTTTGCGCAAAGGCGATATGCATGTACATATAACCGTCTCGCTCTGGCGAACACAAGTCCGGGGGTTGTTTGTGTATATGTGTAAGCATGGGGAGCATGCTTGTGTGTGGGAAAAAGCAAGATGTCGACTGCTGGCACACTAATTGTTGTAAAAAAATTACTATGCAATTTTAAGAATTTGTTATTTTTCAAAAATTACTCAAATTAACACTTTTGCGACATTTTTGCAAGCTAGTTTAGCAGTTTTGAATATTTTTAGTTTTTTTAATCAATGTTTAATAATTTATCATTTAATTATTAATTAGATTAGCAAAATGTTTGATTAATGCACTTTTAATTTCCATTTGCAAGAAACTAATTTACGCACACGCATGCACTTCTATCAATCAATCGATTGGCTCGTGACGTCACAAAAGCGCACGCACAAAGAGAGAGGGAAAGAAACGACAAGCGAAAGAAGTTTCCTCAACTTATGCAAGACACACACTAACACAAACACACGCGCGCAACACTCGAGAAAATGCGAGGAAATTAAACTAGAAACCAATTAAATCTCACTCACCAATTCGGCAAAGGTCTGCTGATGCTCATTTCCCAGCCAGTCAATGCGTCGCGGCAGAACCTGTGGAGAATGTTAGAGGGGGGGTTAAAGGGAATATGAGCTGTTATCACTTGCCCCGCTGCCCGACTGCCTGCGCTGTCGAACCAAGAAAGAATGACGTCGCCACCGGGTGGGGGTCGGAACGTCATCGAAATTTTTTCTCTTTAGCAAGCGGACAGACCAGACGACCGCCAGACAGACTATCGGGCGGGCTATCCCGGGGCCTAAATACCAGCGGACTATGGTTCCAGTTCTCAGTATAGCTTGAACTCTGATATAAAACCGACGTAGGTTTGGTGTCGCTGCGGCTGCTTCTGCTGCCGGCAGCAGAAACAACAACAAACCCCAAACAAAAATATATAAACAAACGCAGAGGGCAGTTTTTGCATAAACCGTGGTACCGATACCCCCGCCCCAAAATCAGTCGTGGCTGCGGCATAGGAACCGTCAAATCCTTGGCCTGTGGCCCAGACTCTTACATTCTTCTGCTGCAGCTCCTCGATTAACACCTGTAAGGTTACAAACGATGGATGCAGTTAGTAATATGGATGTAAACGAAACCAAAAGTTTCAAACGTTGAAAATTGCGCTCTTTTTGTGGAGGCAGCCTCAACGCCTTCCGACTTCACACCGACCTTTGCCGTCTCTTGCAGGGGCCCCGCCGTCAGGAATTTGGATATGAGGAAATATAACTCTGCAAGAAGAACAATTTCACACAATAAGAGCAACAGTTGGGTGGGCAAATAGGATTATTATACGAAAATTGCAATTTTTCGTCTGGATGTTCTTGCAATTCGACTCGCGGCCATTCAGCCCAGGCATCGCGAATGCACAGTCAGTCAGCTCATTGAAAAGCACACACACCTCTCCTTGGGCTGCGGGCGGCTTTGGGCAGCCATATTTTTGCACACACTTATTGTTTTCGTACAAAACGTACCTGGCACTATCGCATCATTAGAACTGGCTTGGCTATTTGCCATTATTCATTGCGAACTCAGCCTCGGATTATGACAAAATTGTAGTTGCTTTCTTCTAAAATTTTTTCAGCTTCTTCTTTCTGTAAAACTAAAAATCGCCGTTCACACGGAACAACAGCATTGTTATCGATATGTCATTAAAATCGATTGAATGGAAAGGTTTGCAACTGGAATATTATGAAACAACAAATTCTGACTGAAAACGCCACGGGGAATGATACTAATCCTTTCAATTATTCGATCCTACTAGATTGATCATTAATGCATGACATATTATGCTCAAGTGCTAATTTCGATAAAAAATGCAAAGATTGGTTACGAATTAATCGATAGTGTGCGATAGTGCCGACATCGCGCATCTCTAGTTAACGTAGATATCGTGCAGTTGCGATAATTATTTTTAGTGATATTTTCCAATTCTCATGTAATAAAAACCATTTTTCCACGAAACAAATATAAATAAATGTGCACAGAAATTCACATTCAAAAAAGATAGTGCGAAAAAGTCGATCATGGAGTGTAACCTGGGCAGCGAAATAGGCCTCAAGATGCGCGTAAGTTTTTTTTTGCGGAAAATCAATGAACTTCGTAATCCAAGCAAAAAAAACACCCAAAATGTAGAGTGCCGTCAAGGCGAAGCTGCTGGAACTGGGCACGGGCGGCTCATCCGGCTTTATAGACGACGAACTGCCGGACTACGTGATGGTGATGGTGGCCAACAAACGAACCAAACAGCAAATGGCCGCCGAGTTAAATCTCTTTCTGGGCGACCAGACGGATCTCTTTGTCACTTGGCTGCACGAAGTTCTCCAGAAGCTGCAGGAAGTCACATTGCCCACAGCCAGTGGTAAGTTTGTGGTCGCCCTTATCGAGTGCCATTATCTTATTGAATTTATTTGATCTGCCAGCGTCCAGCAAGAAGCGCAAGTCCCGACAGCTCGAAGCACCCTCCAAGTCAAAGGAAAAAGACAAACGCCACTCGAAGAAGGATAAAAGGCTGCAGAGAAAGTCGGGCGATGAGATGCCAGATGCACAGTCAAGCTCTGCGGATGCAATGCCCGTGATTAGCTCCATAACCGATGCCTTTGCCGAGGAGCTGCTGGAGAAAGCCAAAAAATCGCTTGACATCGACATCAATGCCAAGGATGAGATTGTGCACAAAAAGAAGCGCATGTCAATGGAGAGCGACGAGGACGCTGGAGACGCAGATGAGGCGGCACCCACTACAGAGACAAACTCAACCACCGCCAGCGGCGTCAATCGGCAAAAGGATCTGGCCGAGCTGGCTGAGATTCAAAAGAAAATCCATGCGGCCAAGAAGCATTTGCGCCAAATAGGCGAAATAGAGGACGAGAGTGATGTGGAGGAGGAGGAGGAGGAGGACGACGAAGACGGCGATCTCTTGAACATCAACGAACAGGAGGAGGAGCCGGAAGCCGTTGAAGCTATGCAAGAAGAGGTCCCTCCGGCACGCAAAACCAAAAGTCCCATTGTCTTCAAGAGGCGAGAGAGAACTCCTCCCGTGGCGCGTGTCGAGCCGGAAATTGATGCCCGCCAGGCGGCCAAGATGGATGTGGAGATTGAGAAGGAAAAGGAAAAGGAAAAGCCCAAGGAGGATCGCTCGGAACGACGTTCGGTGCATGATCGTCTGGGCTCCAAGCAGGCCTCCCAGCCGTCAACAGAGCGTCCGCAACGTGGCCAAAAAGAGCTCTATGTACCGGCACATCGTAGACGCTTGGAGGCATCGGAAGTACAGGTACCCAAGGAGCGCAGCCAGCGTGAACGCTCCAGGGAACGTCGCTCCAGTCGCGACAATCTGCGAGAATCGAATCGTGCACATCGCCAGCGACGTTCGCCCAGCCCCGAGGCACCCAAGCAACGCATTGGGTCGCGTGTCATTGTGGCTGTGCACAAGCCGCCAGAGCCCTCGGATGATGAAGATATGGCGGATAAGCCGGTCAATTCGGTCATCAAGATCAAGCCCAGGCCCCATGTGTCGCCACGGAGACAGGCGTGCAAGAATTTACTCATGAGAGCTGTGGCCGATGCCCAGAGATCAACGATTCTGGCCAAGTCAGCAGCGCCATCGGTAAAGAAAGATGTTGAGGAGGTGGAGCTGGTCAGCACCTCGCTGGGCAAACGCAAGGCACCCGAAAAGAGCGAACGGGAACGATCGCGTGACCGTGCCAAGCGCAGTGCACCCACCCCAGAGCTGTTCAGGCGCAGCACTCGAGAGTTGGTGGTGAATGTGCTACAGCGGGATGCGTCTGGCAAGCAACAGCACTCCTCCGCCAGTGCCTCTCGACGCTCCAACGATAGTCATGCCGAGCTAAAGCTGAAAGTGGTGGAGGAAGAGTATGGGCCCAGTCTCGTGGCCGAGGACTATGAGCCGTATGTGCCGCAGCTACTGAATCACGTGGAGGATATAGATCTGCACATTGGTTCGCCAGAGGCGAGACCCAGCTCGAAAGGACCCAAAACTCAATTTGTGGTGACGCTGAATGGGGAGAAAACCAACAGGCCGGATAGAGACTCTGCCTATCGCAAGCGCAGCATCTCGGTGTCATCCTCGCCCGTAGCCACAACACCACAACAAGTGACCTCCTCCAGTGCGGAAATAACAGCTGCAGCTGCCTCCTCCTCCTCAACACTCGACAGACGTCGCAAATCCAATCGAGCATTGAGCATCAGCCCATCGCCCAACTCGAGCCCATCTCATCAAGTCACACGAAGTCTGAAGCGTAATGAGGTGCTCAGGCAGCAGCAGGAAATCAAAAAGATCATCATCAAAAATGACACAGACGAGGACGATGAGACGCACAGTGCACCGCCAAAGAAGACTCAGTTGCCGCACAAGCGATCCTCGGGCGGCACTGCCTCGGCCCCGGCCAATGGTCACAAGGAAAAGCGAGCAAAGGCTGCCACAGAGGAGCGCTCCAATACGCCACCACTGCCGGCCACAAGCCGTCAAGCCTTGCCCAAGCTGGAGAAGCGAGCTGTCAGCAAAGAGAAACCGGCAAATGCAAATGCAAATTCAAACTCAAGTGTAGAGCCTGCAGCGGCAACAGCAACGACAGTTGCACCAGTGTCTGTTATAGTCTCTGCAACTGCCAAAAATAAACACACGCCCATACGCTTTACATTAAAGTCGGAGGACAAACCACAAGCAACGGCACAGCCACCGGCACAGCCTGCATCAAGAAAGCGTCGCTCGGGCAGTCACGAACGTGCTACGTCGTTGGAGAGGCGCAAAGTGCCCTTGCGGAATTTAGAGGATAGAAAATATGACAATTTGCCGGCATGTAAGTGTAACCAAAAACCATAAAAAAAAACAAACTTTGACTCTTCTCTCCTGTTTCCAGTAAGCGCCGTCAGCGTGGACTCGGCCGTGTTGAAGGTGAGCAAGCCCAAGGAGCGTTGCAAATATCATCCAAGTTGCACTAAACAATTCTGCGAATACTATCATCCAACGGCGCCATGCAAGTCCTTTCCCAATTGCAAGTTTGCGGACAAATGTATGTACTCGCATCCCAAGTGCATGTACGACATGTCGTGCATGAGCATCGACTGTAATTATGCACACAGCGGGCAGCGGGATCTCAGTCATGTGCAGCTAACAGCACCGCCCTTATGTAAGTGCAGCAATCAATTGTTTATTTAAATTCAAACATCATTCTAAAGTTTCCTTTTCCATCGACAGCTTCCCATGTTATACCCGTGCAGAACTATAAATCAATATCGGCACCCATGACGGCCACCACAGCGACGACAATGTGCAAATATTATCCAAATTGCACCAAAGTGGGCTGCACCTTCTATCATCCAAAGCCTTGCCGTTTCGGCAAGAATTGCGTCAATAAGCTGGAGTGTGTCTTCTATCATCCGGAGATGCAGAGCAAATTCAAATGGGTTGCCTCAATGGGCTAAGCACCATCAATTTTAACAATATTTAGCTAATGTCATTTTAATCACTACAACTACCCCGCGCTCTACGGCTCCCTGCTACGCTAGATCCCCGCTACACCAAAACCTTTTTTTCTATTGGATCTAATGGGAGCTGGACGCCCGCGGAGTTCTTTCTATTTCAATTATACACAGATTGCTGTGTATCCAAACACACATTTCATTTCATCTGTGCATTTTATCCTAGACATTAGCAGCTATCTAATCTATCCGCCTCTAACTCTCTCTCTCTATCACGGCAAAAGAAATTGTTCAATCGGATCTTTTTCTTGCATACAAACATAATCGTGCACGTCATGCAAAAAGATCTGAGAATAAAATTAGCAAATAGTTGCTACAAATTGGAAAACAGAAAGGGGTTTTAATTGTATGCTGAGGGGAAAATTTCGGATTTGTACCATTCACGGGGATTCTCTTTTGCAGCCTTCGCTTATGCGTTTTCTCTGGGTGCAGGGATGGAATGTTCCGCGACAAATCACAATGGAAAAGCTCTATAAATATCAGTAAATTGAAACCTTTAGCTGCCTCATTGATATTACTTTTAGGTCAAGGAATTTATCAATAGCTTTGGAAAAAAGTCGAAATATTTAATATTTATTATAATGTATATATAGTACAGTCTCTTAAGGTTACGCTTAGAAATTCTAGAGCAAAATATGTCTTTCATTTTGATTTGAATGCTTAAACAATAGTTTTTGCTTTTGCAATTGCTTTTCGTTACTCAATTTAGTGGGTTTTAGTTTTTGTTTTATAAGGCCACATTTCCTGTTGTATATACTTCAGTATATAATAGGCATATAGGATTTATATTTTAGCTCAGCTAAGTTATGTAAATGTTAAAATCTGTGAGGGGGAATACGATACAAATCTATTTACAAACAAAAATACTCGTACAATAGATCTAGGTGTGGAATGTCGGTTATTGGGTGTCCAGTTTTCAGTGCTATAACTTTGTTCGCAGCTTCAGGATTAAACGAATACTGAGTCTAAACTAAACGGACTACAATCGTAACTAGAGTGCTTGGGTTTTGCCATCTAAATTACTACAAATAAATAGGCAACGGCATTTTTTAATTATTAACTAACTAAAGCATAGGCATAGGCATCGAGGTGGTGAATATGTTGGGGCAGGGCTCTACGGCTGCTCCTCTGCTGCTTGGCTTTGAGCACCTTAATACAAACTTACGTACAAAAACATTGCATTACGTGTACATCTCTAGGGTATTACTATTATATGGGCGGACTTTAGAATATCTTTTGAAACGTATTTCAATTGTTGCTTAAACTAAATAAGTCGTTCCTCCGGCGGCGGCTTCAGCACATTGTCCATTTCCAGCCTCGGATTGCAGTACTCCTGAGCGCTGGGGCTGTAGGTGCCGCGCGTGGCACGCTTATTGCGTGCCATCACCAAAAAGGTGCCCAACAATGCACCAGCAATGAGCAGCAACACCACCACAACTGGTATAACAATGATGGCTATGTCTGTCGTCGATGGGCCATCCTCCTTGGCAACGATCTAGGAAGCAGAAAAGGGAGTAACAGCATCAGTATAGTCCTCCGATTTGAATCTCCATTAATACTCACCGGTGAGGTGCAATTCTTGCCGGCAAATCCTTCCGTGCAGATGCAATAGTAGTCCGGCTTGGCGCCGCAATCCTCCATGCAGCGGCCCCCATTGCCGCAAATATCTGTGGCATTGCAGGGATCGGTAAAGTTGCAATAGGCCCCGCAGTGGGGCTTCTCGCAGATGCACTGGAACGAGCCGGGCTTGTTGAAGCAGCGACCCAAGCCGCCGCAATACTCGCCCTCCACACTGCACTCGTCAATGTCGTTCTCACAGTGTATGCCCTCGAAGCCGGTGCCCAGGCAATTGCACTCGTAGCCGCCCACCAGATCCATGCACTTTCCAGCGTTCTGGCAGGGATTCGAGTCGCATTCGTTGATGTCCTGCTCGCATAGGCGACCCGTGTAGCCCAGACTGCACTTGCACATGGGTGACTGTGATGCAGGAAGGAGTCGTTAGCGTTTAATCGATTAGGGATTGTTGCTATAGTTTCTTACCAGTCCTGTGGTCAGGCAGAGTCCACCATTATCGCAGGGCGTGCGCTCACAGAAGGGCACATCGCACAGGGAACCCTCAAAGCCGGAGGCGCAGGTGCACGTGAAGTTATTGCCAGTCAAAGCATCTGCGGGGGAGTAAATAAATGCTGCTTAAAACTCTGCTCGAAGGGGTTTAGTTCGGTGTACTCACTGAAACCATTCTCGCAGCTGGAACCATTACGGCACGGCTCATTCTCGCACGTCATCTGCTTGAGTATGTCGCACTGAGGACCGGTGTACTCCTCCGGGCACTCGCAGTAATAAGCTGCAATCAGATCCGTGCAGTTGCCACCATTGTGGCAGGGCAATTCTGCGCACTCGTTGATATTCAGCTCGCAGTGGCGACCCTGGAAACCATCCTGGCACTGGCAGAAGAAGTCTGCCACCTGGTTGATGCAGGTGCCATTGTTCTGGCACTCCGTGTTCAAGCACTCATCGATGTCGGTGCCGCAGTCGTCGCCCTCGTAGCCCGCCTGACAGGTGCACTCATACTCATCGGACGGCGCCCGACAGTAGCCATCGTTGCGGCAGTCCGTCTGGAAGCACAGAATGCAACCCTCAGCGGGCCGTGTTGTGTTCAAGCGGAACTGGGCCTTCAGCTGCACGGACACGTTCTCGGTGCGGGGATACAGTTCGGTGTTGGAGAAGTACGGCAGCAGCAGATCACCCACACGCGCCTCGCCCACGCAGCCCTTGAACTGGGAGCCCTGCTGGGCGGAGAGCGTGGAGCCACGCGACTGGCGCGACTCGGGCATGCCGCCCAAGTACACTTGGGTGCTGCTCGAGAGCAGGTACTGGATGGCCGCCTGGTCAATGTCGACGGAGAAGGATGGTGCCGGATCCACCATGGATTCCCAGCCCTTCCAGCCACCCTCCAGCTTGCCATTGTGTGCCCGCAGGAAGATGCGACTCCACTCTCCGTCGGCGTTTTCCTTCTCAAAGCGCGTCGACTCGCCAATGTGCAGCTGCGTGAGCTTCCAGGTGATGGTCACACGTCCGCCGTTCACACCAATCTCAAAGAAACTGTCCGCATTATCGATGAACAGCAGCGTGCCGCCTGCGCGTGTGCGATAGGCAATCTCAATGCTGGGCTTCAGCGTCTGCTTGGGACCAGTCTCGCCGCCAGTTTCCTCAGCTGGTGGGGGTTCCTGGAAGTAGAAGAAGGCCAGCGGGCTGCGTTCTCGGCCCGTGAATGTTGTGTTGGTCAGACACTCGTAGCCATCGTCCAGATTCTGGCAGACACTCTCGCCCGGGCAGGTGACCAGCTGACAGAATTCAATCTCCTGGCAATCCTTGCCCTTGTAGCCATTCGGGCACTTGCAGCTGTAGTCGTTCCATGTGTTGCGGCACTCGGCATTGTGGCGGCAGGGATTCTTGCGGCACAGATCGTCGGAAACTTCGCCTGGCAGCACCGAAGCACGATCAATGCTGACAGCACCCAAAGGCTTGGCATTCACTTGCACATCCGTCACATTCAGGGGATACATTTCCACAATAAGATTGAGCGAACCGTTGCTCACTTTTACGTCCTGGATGATGCCCTTGAAGTAGTCCTTGCTGTCATCGGCCGCCTCCTTGCTCAGCACTGTGGCACTCTCATCCATGCCGGGCTCTGTGCTGGCTGGCAGCAGCGACTCCCGTGTGGGCGCTGGACCGCCCAAATAGAGCACTTGTGCATCCAGCAGACCCGTCGTTGACAGCGTCTTGCGGAAGTACTCGGTGCCATTGAGCTTGACCTGCACCAAGGTCTGATTGCGCACTACCTCGATGAGGTGATTGTAGCCATTGTCCAGCTTCTGGCCACCCACAGTGTAGGCTTCGGGTGTGCCAGAGAACTGCATCTTCACGAGCAGCTCGCCGCCATGCAGCTTGGCCGACACATACGAATCGCCAATGTCTGGAGGGCAAAGGTAAGAAAATATTAGTTTGGAGTGCAAAACGAAGCCTCTTTTTTACTCACTTTTGGTGGGCGTCTTGCGTGGATCACTGCCCAAATAGAAGACCTGCCCGGTGGGCTCTCGCGTGCGTATAAACATGGAAATATCCAAAATGGAGCGAATGGCACGCCTCCCCACATCGGTGGTCTCCACAATCACTGCCGAGTGCGTGGTATTCTCATGCCCAAATGTAGCTGCTGTCATATCTAAGGAAAGTCAAGGGAAAATCATAAAAAAACTGCCTCAAGGGACATTTTTTAATCCACTCACTGTGCTGGCAGGTGTGTCCAAAGAATGGCCGCGGACAGTGGCAGGCGAATGTGTGCCACAGATCTGTGCACTCGCCATTGGAGTGGCAGGGATTCGGTTTGCACTGCTCGGTGCGCGGACAGCCGCTCTGTACATTCTCCAGCTTCGTGTCGCCGTACGTGAAATTGGCGCTCTGCTCGTCGGGGAAGATCCATTTGCCATTCACGACAATGTCCTGCATGCAGCCCACAAAGGCCGAGGGCTGATGCGTCAAATGCCGCAAATAAGACTTCAGATTGGGTATCGTTCCGCCCAAATAGGTGCGCGGAAACGAGGGCTGACTGTTGTTGGCCGTCTCATATGAGCCCACGGGGAATATGGCCTGCTCATCGTTAGCGGACAGCACCAAATGCGATGTATTTATGGCCACAAACACCTTGTGCCAATTGCTGTCGTTCAGCTTGGATCCAATGAAGACGCCCTCCCATTTGTTGAGCAGCGACGAGTGGAGGTTCAGGCGTCCATTAATCAGCTCTAGAATATAGCTGACAGGCTCATTCTTCTCGCCGGAGGTGCCAAAGGCCAGCACGCCATTGGGCAGCGTGGTTCTAAATTGCAAATTAATGTCATAGCCTTCCTCGCGTTCGGTGGTCACAGAGATCAAGCTGGTGGCCACCATGGACAGCGTGGTTGTCTTCTCGCAGGTGTCGCCCTGGAAGCCATTCTCGCAGGTGCAATTATACAGATGAATCGTCTCGTTGACCAAATACGGACGACAAGTGCCGCTATTCAGACAGGGCTGCAAGAGATAGAGAAATAATTAGTAAGGATTGAGGATTTAGTTTCCATTTTAATCTTACATTTGTGAGGCAACCAATCAGCGGCACGGAACAGTTTTTCCCACCAAAGTTGGCATCACAATCGCAGTCGTAGTCGTCGATTTGATCAATGCAGGTGCCGCTTTGGCAAGGATTAAAGCGTTCGCACTCATCGATATTGACCTCACAGTGTGGGCCTTCGAAGCCGGGTTCGCATTCGCAGGTGTAGGCGCCAATGCCATCGTTGCAGGTGCCATGCTTGCTGCAGGGATTGCTCTCGCACTCATTTATGTTGATCTCGCAGTTTTTGCCAATGATGCCAGGCACACAAACGCATTCGTAGCTGCAAATAAAACGAAAGTTAGTCCAAAATTATATTGTTATACCCTGGCTGGCACTCACCCGCTGGCATTCTCATAGCTGAATGGCTGACTAAACACTTTGGGCAGGTCCGTGAGACGGCTGAACTGGTAGAGCGTCTGATTGGAGCGCTCCAGACAGTTGCTGTTGTACTGACACGGATTGCTCTCGCACTCATTGATGTCCTGCTCACAGTTTTTGCCTTTGTAGCCCGCATGACACTCGCAAAAGTAGTCCTTGACTTGGTCCAGGCACTTGGCGCCGTTCGTACACGGATTGGACACACACTCGTCAATGTTTAGCTCACAATTCTGTCCCTCATAGCCAGTGCCGCTGCAGTCGCAACGGAAACTGCCCAACTGATCGATGCACTGGCCGCCATTCAGGCAGGGATCGCCCACACAGTCGTCGATGTCAATGTCGCAGACCCTGCCCGTCATGCCCGGTATGCAGGAGCAGGTAAAGTTGTTGATCATATCAATGCAGGTGGATCCATTGGAGCAGGGATTGGTGATGCATTCGTCAATGTCAATCTCGCAGTTCTCGCCTCGATATCCAGGCTGGCAAACGCACTCGTAGGCATTGATCTGTGCGTAGAAAGAAAAGGATTACAATTTCTGTAGATTTAAGCTTTAGCTTTAAGCAGGAATCAAGGATTTGGGCTCTAGCAGTGTACCTACGGCACTCACTTGTCTCAATATCCGATGCTTTCCGTATTTAAAGAAAAACAACTAATTACACTTTAGTAACCACTTAAGACGTCACACCCCCCTTCATCTGAGAGTTCCCCCTTGGCTACCTACCTTGTTGTGGCACGTGGCTCCATTTAGACAGGGAAAACTGAGGCACTCATCCACATCCGAGTCGCAGTGTATGCCCGTGAAGCCGGGCGTGCAGTAGCACTTGTAGGATCCCTTTTCGTTCTTGCAAATGCCATTGCCGCAGATCTTTGGGTGCAGCGTGCACTCATCCACATCGTTGGCGCAATTCCTGCCCGTCCAGCCGCGTGCGCACTTGCACTCGTAGTCGCCGTTGGGCAGATCCAGGCACTCGCCACCGTTCTGGCAGGGCTTCGTGGCGCACTGGTTGCACACCTTGTTCTCCGGGCAGATGCACTGATTCTGCACGCACACCATCGGCTCCTGGCAGTTGAGCGGCGAGCAATTGTCGGCTTTTTCGCATCGGTCTCCCGTGTAGCCCACGGCGCAGTAGCAGTGGGTGCCGTTCATCGAGCATGTGCCGCCGTTCAGGCATTTACCGTTGGTTGCATTGCAATTGATGGGCGTCAGGGCCATGGCAGCGGCCGTTCCACCATCGCCGGTGCTCTGCTGGCAGTTGTAGCCTGGGGTGACATTTCGAAATTAGAATTTGGTTCAACTTTAGTTAATGAGTTAGTACAAGTATAAGTAATATTTAATAGTTTAAGTATTTGTACTACTGCTACGCTACATATTTACATTTGGATAAGCCGGGGTTGCACTAAAAGTTGCAAGAAACAGTTAAATAGAAAGAGTACTCTCATTCGCCTCTCTCTCTCTCTCTCTCGTAAAGCTCACTCTCTTTTACGACTTGTGTTTTGTTTGCATGCAATTTGCAGGTTGAATAATTAAGAGAGAAATTCGTTTACTCTGCTAAGCAGTGCAGTCCGGCTAAGCAGTTCTGAGAAAGTGAAAGAGAGCCAAGCGTTTATTCTGCTAAGCAGAGCAGCAATACGCTAGCTATGCTAAGCAGTTCACAATAATAACAATTCATTGAGCGCTCTAGCATATGAATACATAAAATATTAAAAGTAGATAGCACTACTAGAGGTACTGCCAATAACCGCATTCAAAATTCAAAACTACATTTAATTAGGATGACACGACTTTTAGGACAACCCTTTGCGTCACGCCATTTCATCGTATATTTATGTACACATACTACTACTATATATGCCAAACCTGTGTATCCACTAGCACATATACAGGTATAATTGCTACTATATCCCAGGCAGGTGCCACCGTTCAAGCAGTTTTCTTGGGGACATGCATTCAGGGAGGCCAATCGATGGGTTGGTGACTGTTGTTGTTGTTGTTGGTTTTTGTTAAGTTTACTAGCTGTTGTTGTTGTTATTATTGGTGGTATTCTGGTTGTTGGAATTGTATTCGTTTTCGTAATTGCTGGTAGAGTGATTGCTACTGTTGTTGTTGGCAGTTGTTCTGGTGTCGGTGTAGTTGTTGTTGTTGTTGTAGGCAGACAATGACCAATTGGGCCTAGGGTTTTTTTTAGCCAAATACGGGAGGATTGTTGTTGTTGTTGGTATATAGTATATAAGATTAGGGATTAGTGTTTAGCGTATAAATCGATTGTTAGTAGTAGCAATGGGAGATTAACCAACAAAAAAAAGCAGATGCACATTAATCCAATGCAGTTCCGAGAAAGCTTAAAGGCCAGTCAATAAATGTTTGAATTTATTTTCTATGAATGATATAAGTAAGCTCTTAATGAAGTTTCAAAGTAAAGCGCTGCTGATGAGTCCGTTCATTTATGGGAAGTTTAAGTGCAAGCAGTGCACTAAGCGGTATGGCATCGAATGAAGTTTCTGGCTAATCAGAGACTGATCAGAAAAGCACACGCTCTGTAGATCATCGAATGGCAAGCACGTGCCCATGCAATAATGATTCAATGGCTACCAATTTAATGTAACATTTCTCTATAATTCATTGACACTTTCTGCCTTGAAGCTTTGAGAACGCGGGAGACCCCCCCAGGCTACAATAAATGCTACCCTCTAGCCATCTAACCCACATCCTCCATCGTCCAGCCTCCAACCATCAACCACGTACTAAGCTTCAGTTCGCAACGCTTCCGCTTGAGCCACTCGGGCGATATGTAGCGCTTCTTTTTCTCGCTGGCACATTGTGATGGATCGAACATTTCCACCTCGATTGGAGCAGGAATTGGCGGCTCCAAGTCGGAAGCTTTTGTTGTTGTTAAATTAAGACCATTAAAAAACCATTTAAACCCAAAGAAATTAAATGAAAAACCAAACATATTATGACCATGCAACGCCCATGAATACCCTTTAACCTTTTAGCGTGAATCTCCCAGAGGGAAGGACTTACCCGTTGTGCCTGGCTTACACACGCACTTGCCGCCAATGCACTCCGAATCGATGGGACACTGCTGGGCACAGCTCGGTCCCAGCTGGCAGAGTTCTCCACTGTACTCCGGCGGACACAGACACTGGAACCCAATGGCCTTGTCCACACAGGAGCCACCATTCAGGCACTGTTGGGTCTGGCAGGTCATGGGTCGCTCGCACACCTCACCGCCCCAGCCGTCCAGGCACTGGCAGGTGTACCAGCCGTAGGTATCGAAGCAACGTCCGCCATTCAGGCACGGACTCTTGTCGCACTCATCCACATTCGTTTGGCAGAAGGCGCCCGTGTATCCAGTGCCGGAGCAGTCGCAGCTGAAGCCATTGATGCGATCGATGCAGCTGCCATTATTCTGGCACGGCTGCGAGGCACACTCGTCCGTGTCGATCTCGCAGCGTGGTCCGGCATAGCCCTTGGGGCACTCGCAAGCAATGCTCCCCGTGCTGCCGAGCACCACGCAGGCGCCGTTGTTCAGGCAGGGATTCGACTGGCACAGCGGATGGATGTTCACCTCCGTCTCGCAATGCTGTCCACTGTGCTGGGCATCGCAGAAGCACTGATAGTCGCCGCGCGAGTTCTCCAGGCAGGTGCCACCATTCACACAGGGATTCTTGCCGCAGGGCGAGCCATTGTCCTTCTGGCAGTTCTTGCCCGAGTACCTGGCCGTGCAGCGGCACTCGTAGCCCTCGGAATTGGACGAACAAGTGCCATGGCCCATGCACGGATCATTCAAACAAAAGTTATCCGGCAGACGCGTAAACAAATCATGATCGCTGCAGGGTCCCGGTGTCAGCGGACACACGCCGAAAACGACATTCTGTACGGTGGAATTGTTGACAAACTGCAGTCCGGGTCCATCCAGCAGGCAGCCGGAGAAGGAGTTGCCCAGTATCAGGATGGCATCTTTGTAGCCAATGTCCTGATTGGTCAGAAACTGGCTATTGTAGGTGGAGTTGGCTATAGAAAGGGAGGGGAGAAAAAGGGGATTAGTGGGGTGTTTTTTAGGGAATTAAGTCACACATTTTTGATGCAGTTGTATCCCTTTCTATATGCAATTTTGGATTACATTTACTTCCATTTGACTGGCATTTAATCTAGAGATGGCACGTGATAGTTTCTACGCAACATCGATCACTTTTGTGTGATCGAAACGCATGAATCCGCTCGCTTATGGAACATTTGTAATCAACCTCATTAGCTTATTTAATGTTCAATCACGTTTCTGGAGCGTTCCTTTCTTTTACAAATGAAGTTCCCCTTTCTTATCCCTTCGTGATGATGGGTAATCAAACCCTTGCCCAATTTAATCAACAACATTTCACGATTTCTTTGACGATTTCCGTTAGACCCTTTCCCAGACCCTGTTTGTCTTCTGACTGATTGGATTACCACTTACCAAATATGCTTGCCGCACGATCCACATGCAAATAGAGATTGCCGTACTCGTATTTGAACTGCAGCGTATGCCAGCGATTGTCCAACAGTTGGTAGGGCAATTTCACATCCAGACGATTGTTTGGCCCATGGACGGCGGGGCCGGCCAATGAGATTTGCAGAAAATCGTTGAGCACTGAGATTACGATTGAGTTTTTGTTGTACTGCTGGGCGAGTATCTCACCGCCCCGGCACGAGCGGAAACTAATTGCCGAATGATCCCAAATGGGCATCGGCGTCGTCAGGCGGAGGTAAGTGGAGCCATTAAAGTATGCCTCCTGGGTTTGCACCTCAACGGAGGCAACATCTGCAAAAGAAAGAAGATCAAGAGTTTAGTTTGTGACATGAAATGAAAGCATGACAAGGCCAGGCCAGGCCAGGCCACGCCAGTTCAGGCCACAGCCAGTTCAGGCCAAGTCGGATCGGAGGGCGTACTCTCATTTAACTAATCGCATTTCATTCGAATCGCGGGTGACTGGGACTCGGCATTTGTAACCGTAGACTTCCTCATTTCCTCCTCAGCTCAGACTTATTTGGCCACACAGCAAAATGGCCAATTGGTTTACTTTGGCTTACATTTTTGTCTCCCTCTTTGGCATTTTTTTCCTCCTTCTCTCTTGGGGGCATTTGTGTCTACCTCCCCGCTTGGCTAAGAAAGTGCTTTTTATTCGACTAGCATTGACCAAATTAGACAAGTTGCCTTGGCATGCCACCACACTTAAATGGTAATCAGTTAACAATTTCATTTCAAACTTTCATTTGCGACAGACGATCGCCTGCCAAGGCGCAGAATCAATTCCCATTTCCCCCAACAAAAAGAAGTTGCAGACCAGAAGACGCCGACCATAACTTTGCACTTTGAGTGGTTTTCTAATTCAACTTTAGGCGAGAGGGAAAGGCTGGCTATGGGGAAAAGACCGATGCTGGAAGTACTCTAAAAATATCAGAAATCTGATCTTGGTGAATGAGTCCGTCCGCCAATGGAACATTTGTCCTGCACTACATTGAGCTGTACATAAAATTCTCCTACCGCGGAAAGTGTATATCAAGATCGCAGCAAAATGAAACAACTTTCTTGACTAAGGTGCACCAGGCGTAAAAAAGTAAGAAAAAGCCAACTATGACGGTCCATACTCGTCTGTTCGTGCTTAGATATGTGGGTACCGTAGATGTACGCGCATTTGTGCAAAAGCCGGTTTTATAGATCGTTCAATAAACTGCAAAAAGCAAAAAAACCAAAATAAAATGGAAAGAAAGTGGCCAAAAGGAAAAGTTACTAACGAGAGGAAATTGCAAACAGATGATGACAATAGGGAACTAATTATGGAATTTGACGAACTAAAAACGCTATGGACTCTGGCACTACAAATCTTCAGCTCATCTTTCTAGCACAATTTCAATTTTCAATACTTGGCGCCCAAGTGTCGTATTGACTGCTTGCTTTGGCTAGCTTCAACAGGCACTGCTTGCTTAAGCTAGCTTCAAGAGGAACTGCTTGCTTTAAGAAGCTTCATGGAACACCATTAAATGCTTGCTTTGGGCACCTTGGATAAGGCTACGAGACTGCAGATAATTCATTAATTATTTATAATTAATTTAATTGATTTTTAAATCATTTGTTGGTGGGGAGGTACCTAGAAAATAATCATTCTTTTCAATAAAACTCATTAGAGACCTGGGCGCTGCTCTTCCCTGTTTAATTTTGGATTTTCGATGCCTTCAATTTAGAATTCCAGTTGCCAACTGGTTAGACCATCGCTGAAGCTGGACTTGGGATACATTAAAACTGACAAGTAAAACTGCTGGCAAGAAAACTTTGGCATGGCACTGACTGAAGTACAGCTGTTTATTGCCAAAACGAATAGAGCCAAAGCGAAGTTTTTGGGGGGAATTGTGTGTTAAGTGTTGGCGCATTTTCGCGTTAATAAACTTTTAAAGAAGCATACATATTTTTGCACTTCCCTTGGCCAGACAAGAGATAATTTTAGCACCTTCTCCGGGCTTGGTTGAACCCAGACATTGCTGGTACTATGCCCTTTTGGGCAGCTGCCCTGACCCATGGCCTGTTGGCTGGGGATTCCGGGCTTAGAAAGCGCTCGAAGCGACCTCGTCGCAAAACAGAACCTGAACAGCGACGAACAACATAATGGAAAAAACATTATGAGGCCATCGATTTTGCCTCGTCTCGCCTTGTCCGGTCTTCTCAAACATTTCGTATTTTATTTTGTATTTAAAGGCGATTTGTGGAATTTGCATTGACAGTTGTTCGTCGTTTTGCCAGACGTTTTGGTTAATGTATGCCACAGGGTGGGGCAGGCAGGCAGGGGGGGCAGGGGTTGCGGTTGCGGTTGGCAGTGAAGTGAGTACAAGTAAGTCGACAGTAAAGAGCTCATAATTATATTATACTCACGTACGAAACTAGGCAGAAAATTATTCAAAAGTTAAACAACACAAAATGCGACTTAAACTGTTAGATTGTTGGACTGAAGATACCGACAGAGGTGTGCCCATTAATTGGATGTAGGTATCTAGTATTTGAATGTTCAATCTCGTTCCTTGTATAAATTTCCCATAAGTAAACAGAGAACATTCTTTAGAAACGATTGGCAAGAAAAAATTGGCATCATGCAAGGCATAAACATATTTCTATTCAATAAAATGAATTACCTACAAAATTCCCGTGAAAACCCCGGACATGCCTTGCACTTTAGAGGTTTTTTTCACACATTCATACACGTTTTTCTTTATATTTATAAAGTTCAGGTATAGATTTTCCTTATGCGTCGGCATGCACCTTTCTTGTTGTACAATCTCCGCCTTGCCTTGTTTTTTGTGTTGTTGTTCTTGACCGTAAACAAACGGAACGGACATTTCATAATCATAACCAAGAAAAAGAATTCTATTTCTACTTCTCTTTTTTTTTTTTTTGCATTTTTTATTATTATTACGCTTTTTGCGTGACTTTTGGACAACCGTTTGTTTAGTTCTTCGACTCATGAATGACTTGACTCAGACGCCAGTCGGGAGCTGCAAAAAACCAGCTGTTAAGCCGTCTCTCAGCGAATTTGCTTTAGCGGTGCCATAAAAAGAAACAGTTTAATAGTGTCTTTTCAGCTATTGTTCGGGTTAAAAGAGAGAGACAGAGAATGAGAGGAAGAGAGAGAGGGAGATAGAGAGAACGTTTGCTGGAAACTTTAATGACTGCTCGCACTGTGACTGTTTTCGGGCACAAAAGAGTTTGTTATGCCGATTCTTAAGTAGGGGCGCGGCAAATGGTTGGAACTTAGCCAGTTTGAATGAGTTTTTAATGAATTATTCCAACATAGAAAATAATGATACGTATTTCTGGGAGAGTGAAAAGATTTATGGAAATGTTCAACTAAAATATGAACATTTTTGTGCCCTCTTCTATAAGCTTCCTGAAACGTTTTTCATACAAAAGCCAATAAAAAATTGAATAAATTCCAGTACACTTAAAATATTAATTGAGGGATTTAATTGCCATGGAAATATAATTTTTCACTTGAAGTTTTTCGCCAAAAAAAAATTATGTACTTTCCCCGACTCTCGTACCTTTGCCGCATCGTACCAAATTCCGCTTCAAAAGAGAAAACGCTCGAGATCTGAAAAACTTTATCTGAGATGCATAATTACACTGCTTGCTTTTCCATTTCCCAATGTTATTCCCACATGTCACGTTATTTTTTTTACACTTGAAGCAGCGGAAAAAAGTGATTTATGCAAAATGAGATAAATGCACGCAAAACACTCAAAGGAGGAAGCGGTAAATGTAACAGAAAGCAATAGCCGACTCCTGTTACACGCCCACACGACGGGCAGCGAGAGTGAGAGAGTGGGAGAGAGAGAGAGAGACCCAGTTAGTCAAGAAACACTCAAATCATTGCAACACTTTACACACACTTACAAACGCATAAACGTGTGCAGCATAAGTACTCCAAATGCATGCATACATATGTATGTACATATGTAAATTAGCTCAACTTTAGCTTTTTGCTTTGCTTTTCCCCTTCCTTTCGCACTGCATTCTGCTTGTATGACTAATCAGCGTGTCTGCATATGCAAAACAACACCAAAAGTAAGGACACACATACGTACTTACATACATATGTACATGTTTAACCCCATGCGGCCGCTGGCTATTGTCGTTTTGCATGTTAGCCACTCTTAAGCCAGATGCAGTTCTCTCTTCTCTCTTTTTTCCCCCCGCTCATCAGCTGCTTTAATGATACCTCGCACCGGTACATGTGAGTTGCAAAAAGTGTATAGATTTCAGGTTGTCACAGGAACGGGACTCAATTCCTTTTAACATTGATTTTCCTGTTTTTTGAGTACAGGGTATCTAGTTGTCGGAATACCCTAGATACTCCTCTCAAAACGCTCTTGTTGTTGTTGATATTTTTGTAGCAGGTGCAATTGCAGTATTCACCCTTCCCTTAGTCCGAAAGACGGGCTGCTCCAATGTGTTGGCCACAACAAAACGTTGCACGTTGCTAACTTCGGCTGTGACTTGTGGGTGGGTCGGCTCTGTCCGGTGGTTGGGTTGCCCGGGGACCCGGGATTGTTTTACAGCTACATTTTTGTCCCTCCACCCACTCCTTCACTCTCTGAATATGGTCATACTTCAATTGTTTTCACATTGCAAGTGTGTGTTTGTATGTGTTGCCTCATTCAGCACTCAACCCACACTTTACTTTTGTTTCCATTGTTGTTGTTTTTGTTTTTAATTTTTGCTCTAAATACTTTTAACTTTTTCGTTGCTTGAGTTGTTGTTGTTTTTGTGTAACAAACCGCCCACGAAAAGCACGAAAAAGTTTCATTTTGCACTCGATTGTTTTTGTACACTTTCTTTAGAAGGGGTATAAATGTTTGTTGGAGATGTTGGGACGTAGGAAGATTGCTTGTGAGTCTGTGAGTCAAGTAAAGCTGTGGTTGGAAATTCCATAATATAAAGAGTATCCAAACATTGGAGCACCCTAGCTTTTTTCTGCTATGGTTTGGATGTTCAGAATTGCATAAATTACCGATGACCGATTTAACGTGTTTTCGTTTTCAGTATTTAATTTGTTAGCAACAACGAACTACAACAATAAATAACTACATTTTCGTGTAATAAAAATGTATAATTTTTAATTGCTGCGTTTTCGTTTTTCGGTTCACTTTTCTCTTTCTGTCTCTCTATTGATGGAAAAGTGAAAACGTGTCGCGATTAAAATTTAATTACAGCTTAAAGATAATACGATTATCGAAACGTTCCAAAGGGTTTAATTATACTACAATACGATGCTCAATAGGCATGATGTATAAATAATGATACATAAGATCTGTGTAAAGATTTTGTGGAAATTGTTGAAAAGTTTTCCATTTGGTAAAAGTTTCCACAAAATTATTAGCGGTTTATTTCATGTTGTGTTTAAATGAAGTTTGCTGAAATGTTGTATTTCTTTCTTTTCTAGAAATAAACAAATAAATTAGTTGTACTTTGAGCCAATTATTAACAGGAACTAAGCTTCACAGAGCAATTACCCCAAATATGGTTGAAAATAGATGAGTTTCCGCTATGAATATTTATTGTTATTTAATAGAGTATTCTGCAAAATTTCATCAGTTCAGCTTTAAATTATGTCTATCCGGGCAAAATCAAGGGTGTGAACCGGATCAGCAGTGATTCAGGGCTATATCCATGAGAGTTTTTCAGCTACGGGGCCAGTAGATGATAAGTATTTGAGCCATGAAAGTTGATGGAAAGAAAGAAGATTGTTTGGCTAAAGTCGGTCACACAGACAAGGTTGTTTCTTAACGGTGTCGAGATTTGTTTGAACTTTTACAATGGTAAATACTCAAACTATTTTTTCTAACATATTAACTTTCCCATGTTCCCCCATCCTCATACTTTTCTCTATGTATAAATACTTTTAAGAGCTATTTTCATGTCTGACTGCTCTTTGGACCTGGAGAATAGATCATTTGTTCCGACACCTTCTAGTTGAACGAAGAGGAAACAAAACTAAGCTGCAAACAAGCTTCCCACACTAATTTCCGCTTTTAGCTTCCAAGAAATGTGCTGGAGAAATGTTTATTTTTAAAATATTTAAATGAATACGCTTCTATTATCCAATATGAATACACGATACATACTACGCGTGCGGAGGAGAGGTGGAAGCTAATTAGTTTTGATATTCCATGAAAGCTGCAGATTAACATCCAGCAAACAGCGGCAAAAAAACCACAAAAACTGTGCGCACCCACAAAAAAATGACAGGGAATCTATGGTTGATTCGGACTATGGGATACCCGCTAGTCGCTCTTCGGAAGTAATTTTAGATTTAACTGATTTACTTGGAATTCCAATCTGAATGCAGTCTACACGGAACCTTTGAACTACTTTCTCTCTTATCTCATATCAACAAAAACACAGAATACCCTTGTACTAGTAGAGTAAATGGTATCTAAATTTCAGTGTGTCAACGGCTTCAACGGTTTCGCTCTAAGCATGCTCCACCCCTGCTTGCTCCCATGAAATCATGATTACACATTCACACATACATTCCCACTTCCCACTGCTTGCTCTTCTCTTTTATCTCCTCGTTCTGGGAACAACAACAAAACTAACCACAAAAGCAAAGCAGACAGACTCCCCCAAAAAAATAAAAAAAAACTCTGCTTAGAATTGAGCACACTCAAATAGAGTCGGAGCTTCTCTCTCTCTCTCCTTTTGGGTCTGATTCTGCTGGCTGTTGCTGCGCAGCCGCGCCTGGGAACCCGTTTCTCTGTTGTTGGAAACAACAATTGGCCATGGCTCCAACTGCGCGACGACTGCGACTGCGACCTGGCCCTTGTACTCGTCGTAGTACATGCTCTGGGCCTTCCTGCCAGACCCGTCCATCCACGAACTGGCACAAAGCAATGAACTGTTGAATAAAACAAAACCCAAAAACCTGAGAATCTTTTCCGGTGGTGCGTCCCCTGCAGAACAGACTAAGCAAACACATTCAGGGAACAGAGCCTGAGACTGTGGCCTGAAGCTGGTGCATTAGTGGGCGTTGCACTGTGGCTCGAACAATGAAATTGCTTTTAAAATAAAGTGTGGAGTCATGATTAATATTATTAACATTCATTAAAATGTATTAGATGTAGGTTCTAACGATCGCGCTCATGCGATCCCTTAGCTTACGCTTCCTTTATAGAAAACAGAATATTTACTTGCACTGCTTTAAGTAACTCAAAAGTCCGCTAGGCAAGCAGAACCTTCCGCCTGTACCTGTATTTCCCACCACAATTACCACGCAAACACACACACTATTTATGTCCAATTTGTGTACGTTCCATTCCACTGTATCGTCGCGGCACTCACATGAGTCAATGTTAACAATGCCCGTGTTGTTGTACTGTGATCGCGCTGCGTATGCAAATAGCTAAAGATAAAACGCAACTACGTGAGGGCCGCGATAAAGCCAACTGAGTTCGCAGTCAGCATTGAACAACGCCCCCAAAGACTTAAACATTTGTTTGCATGAAATTTTGTTAAAAATTGAATCAAATAAAAGCGAAAGCCGCAATGTTTTGTAGTGTCCCCCTCTGTATGATATTTGCGGCTTCTGCGGTCGGGTCGGCTCTTCCCAAGGCGGCCCTGCCAATCGATGGAGAAACTGAAAACTGGCAACGTTGCTGCAACTGCCTCCGACCTTTTGGTTCTCTATTATAGTCAAAGGGGGAAATCAGTGGTACTTTTTAGTTTAGTTCTTTTGTGGCTATTTTTATAGAGCAAGCTAACGACTTGCACTAATGGCCAGCGTCAGGCAATGGTCGCGGCCCGTTGCGTAGCCCCGGATCCACGGATACACGGGGTCCAAGGGGATGACCAGGCCCTGTGTCACGGCCGATTGCACTTTAACACTTGACCAGAGAACAGGCGGAGGCCTGAAACCTGGGCCGAAGCGGCAAGCGGGTGTGTCTCCCCCCGCCCGCCCGCACACAATTTCCGATTTCCACTAACCCGCGGGGTCACGTGTTGTCGTCATTAGTGCGATGCAGGTAGCGCGCAGGTAATTTGTATTCCTCAAGAGGAGTGTGTACCTGCGCAGCGACTTTTTTCACTTGAAAAGATGGATCATTCCAATTTATGAGAAAATTCAGTGGAAAAACTGACAAGAAAACACTCTCAGAAAATGACGATGATCGACGGGCGATGTCTGGATTTGTACAATGGAAGCTGATGGCGGCCCAAAAACCAGTTGTTTGGGCGCAGTGCAGGGCTTTCCCATCTATCAACATTTCTCTCTCTCTCTCTCTCTGTTTCTCTGTGTTTCTGTGTTTATACCCTCGATGAAGGTGTTTTAATTTTTCCAGATGCTTGACAGTGCACATCAAATACAAATTTCCCATTAGCAAATGGTCTAGAATTACATTTCCAAATAACTGACATAGGAGTTAACTTTTTGCAAGGGTATCGATAACTTCGGTACCCCCAAAATGTCGAATTCCATAATTGGAATTGCGGTACTGCTTGCCAACTGCTGACGTTGCCGGCTTCGCTGCTTTGGCAATTGTTGTAGTCGCCGCTTTCCGGCCAGCGATAAGATTGCAGGTAACAACAAATCCCCAATGGCTGGCGGTTGGTCCGATCGGTATTGTAAATAAATAAACCAAATTTGAGGTCGTTTTTGCACAATCCCATTGAAAAAGGGGGGCACGGGCACACGCAGCACACAAATACAGCGACAATAAGTGTGGAAGCCACGGACAATACGAGTATGTAACTGACAATTACGCATAATGATTCAGCAGGCGACATTTGAATCAAATCATTATTCAATTAAATTATATTCGAATATAGGAAATGAAATGGATGACGGAAGAGATAACATGAAATGCACACATTACTGTTGGCAAGCAGTTAAAGATCAATAAAGAGAACTTCAGAAGAGAATATGGCAAGCAGCAACTGCTTTCTTATCCTCTTAACTGTTGACACTAACAATAAAACATTTGCAATCCCAGCAAAATGTAGCGCTTAGCGATAGCCAAAAACCAAAAATACTCGAATCAATAATAACAAATTAGCGAATATTTAACACCATCAAACTTTTGGTATGCCATATCTATGAGTCACCTCTTTATAGGACGGAGAGAAGGAAAACCCGTTGAACAAGTTTTCGGTTACCAAAATTCGATGAAAAATCTTTCCCTTCCGCCCCACACACACTCACTTACTCACATATGAGAGCTTTGATTCTCGACTCAAAAGTGCACTCGAAAAAAATGCAAGTGGTTCAACGGAAAAAACAACAAACAAGAATCAGGCAGAACATTTCAATGGAGTCACGCAAACTCACAATACATAACAATACAATGATAGAGGGAGGCCAGCTTCAGCTCCGCCGCTCTCTCACCATGTAGAATGTCCTCTCTTTTTCGCTCTCACCTGTTGCTAAATATATTAATATGAAGAGAAATATCCATTGAGGCGCTGAAATGGCGCGCTTGAGCAAATGCTGTGCTGTCGACGTCGTAATTTGAGCTGCGCTTTTCGTTCGGGCTCGGCTCTGCATTCTTCTTGCTGCTGATCTGCTCCGTTGCTGCTGATGTTGTAGTCGTTGTTGTTGTTGTTGCTGTTGTCGTGTGACGTGCGCAGTTGCTGCGGTTGCTGACGCTGACGCATTGACGATCTGAGCCATGATCGTACCTTTTTTGTTGTTTTCGGTATTGGCCAAGAAGGGGTTTCGTTTTGTTTCGTTTCGGTTTGTTTGGTTTACATTGGAGCCTTTTGGGCCGCTTAGAATACGTTTATTTACGCACACACACGCACATGCATGCCAAACACATACACTTGCACTTGGTCTAGAACAGGTTTTTTTTTTTTTGTCCAGCTCTAGAAAAAAACACTGCTTGTTTTGCACACTTTCGCATGACACTTTCTAGCCTGAATTTGAATAATGAATTGAGCACAGATTCGGATTGAGCCACTAATTTCCCATGTCGCAGGTAAGAACACACACTAGTTAGGCTTAAACAATGCTGCACTGGTAGTGGTGGTTGTTCTGCCCTTTTGAACTGCACGGCAGTGCATTGAACACACACACACTTAGGCGCGTTGGCTAACACCAACACCAAGGCACGGGATTGCGCGCATAGAATGAGAAAAGCAACAAAAACTTTCGGCGGGGCGGCCTCTGTTGCGTTAGCGACAGAAACTACAAAAACGTACGTCCGACGCGGCCAAGAACAAACTGTGAAATGCTGTTCGTGTTAGCTGCTTGCCACTGTAGTAGTGTGTGTGCCCAACAGGTAGCCTCATGAAGCAATTATATAAGGAGGTCTCGTCGGCTGCCTTCGTTCGTTTTATTTCCTTAGAGTTAAGTGCGTGTTTTTTTTGTTATTGATATTTTATTTTTTGTAGCAAGAAAGTTGAAATACATTTTAGAGTTAAGAGCCTAAGAAAACAAATATATATTAAAAACAACAGTACCGACTACTTTCAAGTAGTAAATTGCTTAAAATTCAAAATAAAAAAAAAACCTTTAACTCCTTTTCTTGCAATGGGCAATTTTAAATCCCATGCCATCAAAGCTTTAATCAGAGCCCTTCCACTCGCACTTATTGACACTTATTGATAGGGCAGAACTTTTGCCGACGAGACCTCCTTTTATAATTGCTTCATGGGTAGCCTCATGGTGGTTTTTTCGGATTTGTAAGCCTCGCTATCGGCAGAGTGTGACCAGGCAGCAGGCAGCTATGGTAACATTGCTCAGTCAGCTGTGTTTTGTTTACAAATTAATTAATTTTGTTAACATTCCAATTCCACTACACTTGAAGTTAATGCATAAATAAATATAACAATCAGATATAAAAACAGCACTTGAAAAGCATACAGTGTGAGCGAGAAAACTATAAACTTTTTAGTCGATCTTGAGAAATATCGATTGCTACACTCTGAATCCTATCGAATTACGTGCTTGTGCCAGCCAACCACCAAACCAGCACAAATTTTTCTCTGAAGTGTCTGCCTTTTAGATTAGATTAGATTGGTCTTGAAGTGAAGTTAAAGTGTTAAAGAATATTTGGATAATTAGACAAGCCCATAACTGGGGAAAATAACAATAAATGTATAAATAAATAAGTAACCCTGCAAATACCATAAACTAGTGTTGGCTGTACATGCATCCCAGTCCGGGTGTGCAGACTCAGTGGCAGGGGAAGCATATGTTTAGAGGGAGTCGGCACTATTGTTGACATCTACTTTTTGGCGCCATTATGAACAGCTATGTGAAAATTCATATGTGGAGCGACGAAAATACGCTCTTTTTAATTAAGTTGGTGAAAAACTCCCGCTATGTTTGGGACTCCACACATGCCAGCTTTAAGCAGAAAACCAAAAGGCAGAACTTCTGGCTGGAAGCTGCCAAAAAGATGAACAGAGAGACTGGCCTTAAAATGGAAGTTGGTAAGGCACTAAAAGATGATTGTTAATGAATTGATTTCTCAACCATTGAATGCATTGCAGGTGAAGTCAAAAAGAAATGGCAAAACATCCGAGCCTACTACTATGCGGAGCGCAACAAACTGATGAAGGCAGCGCGCAATGGCACGCCGGATGGGGAAGTGCGCAGCGCCTGGAAGTACATGGACGAAATGAGCTTTATGGCAAATTGTAGAATACCGCCAGGATACAATCCCGATACGTCAGTCAGTCGCAACGATATGGTGGGTACACTTATACTATAATCAAAAATATTCTACTTAAATCTACAATTAAATTTAAGACCTACAACGATGGTGAGGAAAGCTTCGACGAAGAGAAGTATCCGGTTGAGGAGGGTTCTCCTCAGGTGCAGGAACAGTTGGAATTCTGCAGTCCCTGGTCGCCAGCGCCAGCACCAAAGAGAAAGAGATACGAGTCCGATTCTAACGATGCCATTTTGACTAAAATTTCCGACTCGCAGAAAGTGCTCACCGATGTCCTGACGATGCCGACAAAAGCAAATCCTCAGGGCGACTTTGGAGCGTTCATCGCTGGCGAGCTAAAGAAATTGGATGTAGATTTAAGCAAACGTTTGGAAATCAAAATATTACAATTAATTACCGATTTCAAAATCAAGCAGTTAACACGCGACGAGGAAAGCCATTAAACTAAGCTGAAAACATATTATGAAATACAATTTAAATTTTAAGAGTTTCCTGTTAATCATCCAAATTGAAGTGTAATTTTGAAAAGTATTCTCTAAGACCTTCCCTCGCTTGGGGACCATGTCCTGTCGACTTTACAGTGCGATGATCCAGCACTTGCTCAATAAAGTTCTCCTCCACGATGCGCTGCAGTTCCTCATTTGGAATAATATCCAAATTGATATTCGTGCGTATGGATTCCTCTCTCAAAAAGTTGTGCAGACAAAAGCAGGTCAAGACAATCTTGCTAAATGTCATGGGGACACGTTTGATGGGCGAAAAGATGACTCGAAATCGATTGGCCAGCATCACAAAGGCATTCTCCACAACGCAGCGACTCCGCGAGAGCATATAATTGAAATGCTGCTGACTTTCGGTGAGATTCTTGCCAATGTACGGCTTCATGTTGTACTCGGTGAGGGGGAAGGACTCATCAGAGACTAGGGTATACGGGGATATACGGTACGAGTGCGGCAGAGCAGCTGGCGGTGGCACGTGAATGCTGTTATCATCCAAACTGTATTTCAAATCAGAGTGCAGCCACACATCAGCGTCTCCAATGCGAGTGTCTGTGCTGACGTTCACATAGACGAATCTGTACTTGGCGTCCACGATGACCATTAACATCATGTTGGTGTCCCCTGTGCTGGCCATGGGTCGTGTTTTGCAGTGCTTTCCTGTTATTAATCAACTTATTAATTATTTGAAACGCAAATCCTTTTGTGTCTTACCATCTATAGCTCCGATGCAATTGGGAAATCCCCAAATATCGTAGAAATCTGCGGCAATCTGTTTCCATTCGTCTGCTGACGTCGGAAAGGGTAAATAGTCGCCATTTAGCACATTGTACAACGCGGGAATTGTCTCTCGTAATATTTTTGTTATTGTGGGTATATATGCGGGCTTTGTTTGGCGAAATGGCATCCTACCAGTGAACAGATAGAAAAGCGTCACCTTCAGTCGTTCCTCTGGTGTAATTTTGTTCCTTAACGGAGTTTTCTGTTCCTGCATAACAGGCCGCACCATTTCCAAAATTAAATGAAACTGTTCTGGTGTCATTCTCAATACTCTACCGTAGAGCACGGAGTCTTCATCCACTATTTCCCGGCTCATCTTAAATTCGATATCTGAAATTGAATATTTTGCGTGAATTTATGGCATAAACAAGTGGCTGCACATTTTACTTGCCTGCTAAGTCGCGTTGCAGTGCATCCTTTGAGGTTCCCAACTCTCGCTTGCGACGGCTCTGCTTTTTCAGCATGTGAGCCGCAATCAGATAATTATTTTGCATTAATAACAATGCTGCACATAGTTTTTTTCGGCTTTCCATTTTTATTTTGCTTGGCAGTTTGTATTAGAGATGGTACAAGCTTGATTCAAACATCGATTTGGTCTATTCTTTGGGTATCGATGTTATTTTGCCATCACTTGAAGGAAGTCTATCACCAAATGAAAAGTGGGCTAACTTTTTCAAAATTTTGCGCGAATCTAAGGTGACACTGATATGCACATGAGCATATATCGGACTGCATAAATCCGTCCATAAATCACTGCGCACGCGGATACGCAATGCGTACGCTATGCAAATGAGGACGACTACAAACAAAGTGCCGACCGATAAAACGCTGCCTGGCTGGGCCACTTGCACTTATCACCAGTGGAAGCGGCGCCGAGTGGCGCAGCCAACAATTTTGGAGGTCTAGGTGAGAGACTATAAATTGGTCGTCGTCCCAGCACGGAGTCACAGCAAGTGAGCGAACGTGGCGTAATGGCAAAGTTGCAACGAATTCTCACATTTTTGTTTCTTCTCAGCGTGGCGGGGGCACTGCCGCTAGTGGATCTGGACTCTGAGGAAGATGCCATTGACTTGTCGGACCTGGGTGAGGCTATATTTGGTAATCCGGACAGCGAGACCACGGGGGTTCTGGTCGATGCGCATGATGAGCAATCCCTGCAGAATCCCGAGGAGCTGGGCACCTACTACGAGGGCGACATTCTCATTCCGCTGAGCTATCGCGAGGAGCGTTCGAATGGAAGTCGCAATGGCATACTCGCACAGAGCTACCGCTGGCCGGCTGCTGTCGTGCCGTATGAGATCAAGGGACCCTTTACGAGCCAAGAGCTGGGCAACATCAATCACGCCTTCAAGGAGTACCACGTCAAGACCTGCGTGCGCTTCAAGCCGCGCACCAACGAAAAGGATTACATCTCCATTGGCAGCGGAAAGTCAGGCTGCTGGAGCAGCATTGGGCGTCTGGGTGGACGCCAGGAGGTGAATCTGCAGTCGCCCAACTGCCTGCGCACCTACGGTACGCCCATACACGAACTGATGCATGCCCTGGGCTTCTTTCACGAGCAGAATCGTCACGAGCGGGACGCGTACGTCAAGGTGATGAGCGACAACATCAAGCCCGATATGATGGCCAACTTCGAGAAGGCCAGCGCACGCACCCAGTCGGCCTTTGGTGTGGACTATGATTATGCCAGCGTGATGCATTATTCGAGCACCAGCTTCACGCGCAACGGGCAGCCCACGCTGAAGGCGCTGCGTGCCGGATCGGCGGCCAGTCAGATGGGACAGCGCAAAGGTTTCTCCGCTGGCGATGTGCGCAAAATCAATGCCATGTACAAGTGCGCCAAGTAACGCTGATCTGATCGTTTATTGGAAAAATATAATATATTCTATAACAATAATATAATTAACATTTCGCCTACGGTAGATGCTGTGCTATGGCCTTGTACTGCGCTCCGTTGTGCCTTCAAACCGCTGCTAATGGTGCGGCAGATTCTTGTTCGTGTCGAAGAAGAAATTTCCCTGCATATTGAGCTCCTTGCATAGCGTGGAGAAACGTCTGATGGCATTGTAGGTGCCATTGCCAAAGTGATCTTTTTTTTACAGAGAAACATACAAAGTTATATGCTAAGTCCGCACACGTGGCATGTGGATTAGTAAGTGTATTTTTGCTGGTAGTAGTCAAAAGTTGTCGCCGGCCAGTGGTTAGTGGGGACGCGCCTTGCAGGGTAGCTTGCCGCTTGTGGCCTTACCTGGGCCCATTATGCCGCTGGCATTCAAGTCCAGATTCATGTAGAGTGCCATGTTGCCGGTGGAGCCAGGACGTGAGCGATTATTAAGAAAGTCTCGTATGTGCTGCACAATCAAATCGATGGCCACTAAAAAGGGAGAAGCAATTGAAACAAATTATAGTGAGAAACAGGCACACAGACGCTCCGTTTCGTATGTTAGACCGTTCTAGGAAATTGGAACTCAAAACAACGGAAACAAAATGCACTTACCTGCCAGAAAACGATCCAAGCAGTCTACTATAGCTTTAGTTAGTATGTGTGATTACCTAAGTCGCATCTAAGTTACGCTGGGCAGCTCTGTCTGTGTTAAAATCTACCAATCGAAGGATGTGTTTTGGTTTTGTGTGTGCTTTACAATACGATTTACATCATCTCTCAGCTGAATTATTTTTGTACTTACTAAACGAAACATTTATTTATCATCTTTGTTTTTTTAGACTAGTTTTAACAGTAGAAACAATTAATGAAACGCGAAAGTCGAGCGACTGCCGACTGTTTGGTTTACCCTTAACTTGACTTCATGAGCGTTAATCAAAGATAGAGCAAGAAATTGAATTAGTTTTAGTAGAACTTTTAACATATTTAATAGTTGCAATAATTGTTGGTGTTATTTGAAAGGGTTTTATGTTAAACCAAAGGCATGCAAGGCATGGAAGGTGATTTATGGTTTTTGGTTAAAAATTTCGAGAGCAGAAAGAGTCATAAAATACTTGGAAATATATGAAATCATTTTTTAGGAAACTTAAACGATAAACAGACGGACAGTTTGCGTTGTCTGCACGCGACTTTCTTGATCTACAAGTATCGGGCATTAAAATATGAATTTTACAATAATTAGAGCTGTGACTTGTGTGTGAATTTTGGGTGAATTAAGTGCTTAGGAACCTTACAAAAAGTCAGAGCGAAGGAGCCAGTTTTGTGACATTTTTCGAGCTTACACATACACACTACCATGTATAATATTTGAATATAATTAATTAATAATCGAGTAGAATATATAATAATAGTAGCTATAGCTAAAGATACTTTTCAAACTTAGGCGCTACATTAGTGTCGTGTTACAGGGTGTGGCGAAATATGAGGAGCGAGGCCCGGCGCTTTCTTCTTTGTTTTTCTCTATTTCTGTTTGGTGTTTCTCACTTAATTTTTTGGCAAAATTAGTATAAGCTTTGAGGACACGGCGCACCACCTTTGAGGGGGTTTAGGCTTTGTTTTTTTGTAATTTATTTTGCACATTTAGTGATCTCGCTTCATGCTGGACGGCGCAGCTCTGATTGTGTGGCTGTGCTGTGCGCTGTTCGTGGTGGCGAGTATCTCCCCGATATGGTGTACAATGAGATCAATGGCAACTGCAAGAAATACAATAAAAATAACAAAAACAAAACAAAAAAAAACACAAAAAAAAACGAAAACAAAACGTAGACCGAAAGAAAAACAAAGAGAAAGAAGAGGGACAACTTTTTGATAGGAATATATAGATATATATATATATATATGTATATGTATGTATGTATATGTATATAGTTTAAGTATATAAAGGTCTGGCTTGTACTTAGTTTAAAGATTTTGTTGGTTAATTCAAACAGGAAACAAAATAAAACTATTGTTGTTTTTTTATGTAACAAAAACTTAACAAATTCACTACAAACGCTACACGTGAGAGTGTGTGTGTGTGTGTGTGTGTTATATATACATAAATAATTCATGTACTTTAATGTGAAAAGAAACAGTTGGGGAAAGGCGTGTGGTCATGGATTGTGTGTGGATCTCACCTGTGTTGTCGGCGCCGCGTGGTATGATAACGTCAGCAAACTTTTTTGTCTGCAAAGGAGGAAGGAAAGTGTGTCAAATGGTAACTGAAAATAGCTGCTGGCATACGCTTACGGGCGAGCAAAATTCCTCAAAGGCGGGCTTCACAAACGTCATGTACTGGGTGAGCACAGCGTCCAGGTCCCGGCCACGCTCATTGATATCACGTGGCACTGCGTACGAAAAACAATCATGGGTTATGGCAGCTGAATGCGAGGTAGCCACACGCCACACTCACCTCGTCGCGCTAGTCTCGTGTCCGAGTCGGTATCCACAAACAGTTTCATATGGAAGAGATCGCGTATTTTGGGGAAATAGAAGACCAAAATACCCTCAAACAGCACCACATCCGCTGGATAGATAACCAGCATGTTCTCAAAGTCCCTAAACACACATTAATTATAACATATCGACACAAATTTACTGCCGCATACTCACAGCGAATTGGTGCGGTAGTCATAGCCGGGAATCTTCACCTTGTGCCCCTTGAGAATGTCCTGCAGCGTATCGTACATCAGCTCCTCGTTGAACGCATCCGGATGATCAAAGTTAAACAAGCCCTTTTGTGCCTTGGCCTTCTCGGCAGCCGTCAGCTCGCGATAGAAGCTATCCTGACTGATGGCCACCACCTGGCGCTGCGTATGATCCATTTCGGCCTGGCCCAGCTGCTCCATGATCTTCTTGCACACCGTCGACTTGCCGCTGGCCGTGCCGCCTGCCACGCCAATCAGAAACGGTGACTTGACCTCATCGCCCGTCAGGGCATCGCCATTCGGCAGACGTAGAGTATCTCCTTTGTTTGAGTCGCCCATTATTGGGATAATTATTGCAAATAGGTTTTTTCCTGCTTTATTTATTTTTTTCTTTTTGGTATTTAATTGCTACAGCGAATTACATGGTCGCACGACTATGAATCCGCATTGACCAGGTACGCAGTGTTGCCACTTTAGCACTTTTCAAACTAGATCTAGCTTTTTTAAATTTACACATGCGGGTTAAGTTGTAAACTAGCGAGTATCGGGAATTATAGCTATTTTCCAAAATATTTTTGAGCTATTTTAGCTTTTTCAAAAGATATAATAAGATTGATAAATCATTCGAGAATTTAATTGAATCGAGATTTATAATATTACTGACGAAGGCCCCGAGGGTCTCTCGAGTGGTAAAGTTTCGCATGCATCTTGTGTCCGGTCTAGTATACTGTATGGCTAGAGCTATCATCTTGCGGCGTCTGGTATCATCACTAGCATATTGCGGCGTCTAGTCGCATCACTATCATCGGATGGCATCACTATCATCGTATGGCGGCGATTCAATTTCAGAAATAGATAGTTGGGGTGACAATTGTTTAAACTTTAAACACAAATGAAAAGTGAAGCCTGGTAAAATGTATGTTGTGACCAAGGAGAGCTGAGCATTCCACAATAACTATTGTTTTTTCTCATTGGCTATTGGCTGTGCTGTAGGTCGAAGACCAAGAACAAAAACAAACAAAATGAAACAGCGCTTGAGTTGGACGCCATCTTAAGTGACCCCATAACAAACTCGCATAGGCTTGTCGCATTCTTGCAGCGCAAGGCAGCGGAAGCAGAAAGGTCCAGGCCCCACCTCGTCTTTGGGAACGTCTCCTATAACCTGGACTTTGATGTTCCGCTCGTAAAGAAGCCTCAAAAAGGGACACAGGAGAAACCATTGAAACCTTTCCAAGAGTTGGGTAAAGCCAATGCCAGCAGCATTGTTGCAGCAGCGTCAGCGCCCCCCGCCTCAGAAGTGCCGCAGTCGCCACCCAACTTAGCGTCGCATGAGAATGTGCCGTCGCGTTCAGCCAGACATTCGCCTTCACCCACCCATCGGCGTCCTTCCACACGTAGTGGCACTGGCAGCAATGTTCCTGGCTCTGATAAGCTGCGTCGTCATGCCATTCAGAGGCGCTCGCGGAGCTGCGGGCGTCGTCAACTCTTGCAGGACTTTGAAGATGCAGCTAATCTAACTCGAAGCTCCTCCAGCCCATTTCCCTTTGTAAGTCGCAACAGAATCAAAGCCAATGCCAATAAGTCTTATCAATCAGTGTCTGAAAATCTACTTGTAGGTGCCAGAAATAAGCAGCACCCCAAACTGCTCTGACAGTTTGAATCGAGAATCGATTCCTGAGAATCGACCAGCGGCACAGACAAAGCCACAGCCAGAGCCAGTGGTGCGTAATTCCCCAAACCGTCTGCACCAATCTGAATGGGAATCGGCACCGCTGGAGGATTCTTTTGTACCGGAAACACAGCCCCAGCAGCTAGACGAAACAGTGCAAAATCTATCGAGGAGGAGTAGCAACGTGCAAGTTATACCAGTGAGTGGGGCCTTTGGTCCCAAGCCAGATGCAGCAGAGCCTTTGCCACAGCCAACTTCGCCGGTTGTATCAGCAACAGCAACAGAAGCAGAAGATGGGGCCGCAGCAACTCCAACAGTATCTGCTGGTAGTCCGAAATCGTGTGCTGCTGGTACTCCCAAATCATCAAAGTCGAAGACAGTTTCCCCTAACAAAACACCTCAGGTTGTTGTGGACTTGGACGCAATCGTGACCGACGAACAGCCAAGCGGTTGTGCGTTGAACCTGGCGCCGGCCGGTGGTAACACTAACAGGCAGAGTCGAAGCCGCACGCGTAACAATCAAAAGCCCTCGGATGACCAGGAAAGTTCCATCAAACTGCTTGACCTCCACCGCTCCAATGCAGCAAGCAAGACGAAGCGCAAGGGCGCCAATGCTCCCATCTTGAATAAGGCGCCCTGTACCGCAATCAATGGAGAGGCGTTTGCCAGGGAGCTGAAACGGATGAGCCACCACGAGATTCTTGATTTGCGTAAGAGAAACTCCCTCGGCAGGGTCTATCCGCTGAATGGGAACAGGAATCATAGTGCAGAGCAGCAAAAGGCTCTGGAGCAGAAAATTCAGTGGGAGCTACTGCAAAGGAATCTGGAAGTTAAAACGGAAACCGAAACAGAGCGCGAAGAAATGGACTGTATGGAGGAGGTTATGGCCATGCCTCCGCCAGCACCCGTCGCCTTCAAAGACAATTCCCAAAGGCAGCGCAGCGGGTATTCAAAAGAGCGGCAGAACGTTCGCACACGTTCCAGACGTCGAGAGGCTCCAATGGTAGGTAATCAGCAACATAGCACATGACAAAAAATGTATTTTCTTTTTGAATTTTAGACAGCAGAGCTGCTCAACTACATGGAGCTCACAAAAACCATGGAGTCGCGTCGAAAACCATCGTGCAACTCGTCGAAACGCAGCCTTTACACCAAGGGTGACTCGTTCCGAGAAGATGTCGACTCGTTGTCGCCGGAGAAGCAGCCAAGGCTGAGTCCAACCCGCCTAGGGCCTACTCTTTGTCGTGCCAGGAGCAAGGAAAGCCTTAACGTCGTTGAGGAGGAAATTTTCATTGTACCACCGCCGCCTCGTTCACTAAGATATTCGCAATGTGTGCGGGATTTCAATGGAGTCCGGGCAACCCCTAAGGACTCGAATGATGAAGACACTGCCCTCGGCCATTTGAAGGGGCAGAAGAATAATTTAAGCGAAATTGCCGCCCCTCCACCAGAGTTTAATGACGATAATGATAATGCAGTGGATGGGTCAGATTGCTCTTCCTCGGAGTGTGCTGTTGCCCAAAAGCGGCTCTCCAAATCTCCACTTCCTCCAGTGGAAAGGTCGAAATTTGCTGACCAGTCAAATGGGACTGCCACTAGGAATATACGGAATAGACAGAGCAGACAGCCACCCTCCCCAGCGAAAACTAAGACAACGGACAGGGAAGACCAGGCCATCGTTTCATCTTCGGTGCCAGGCAACACTTCCTTGACAGATGAGCAGCCCAGCACGATTCAAGCCGCACTGGAGCGGCTCTCTGGCAAAACTCTGGCACCTAGAGCCAATGAGCCTGAGCCTGAGCCTGAACCTGAGCCCGAAGCTGATGCGAGACCAGTCGTGGCGGAGGAAGCGGTGGTGTTTAAGAAACCCATGGCGAGGGCACCGCGTGCCAAATCAAAGGCAAAATCCAAGGCAAAAAGGGAGCTGGTAAACCTAAAGGTCTCCTACGTACAAGACGAGGTGCAAGTGGACCTCAATGAGGCTGGTAAGTAGTGGCGAACGAGAATGCACTATTACAATATTCTCAATTATTTTGTTTGGTGATTCGCAGGCAATCGGCGGTCAAAGCGTGCTCAGGTACCACTGATGAACACTTGGTGCCATACCATGGATCCCATGAAGTTTGAATGGTTTCGCGAATCGGTGGATCCATATAATAAGAAAAAAAGCAAACCATCGACGAAGCACTCCAGTATATCGACACTGTCCAAAATGTCTTTGTTGAAAAGGCCACCGCTTTGCAGTAGCACGCCGAGACTTCCAGGCGAGCCCCTCCATGCCGCTACAGAAACTTGTGAGCCTCCAGAACCTTCCGATTGTAGTTCCCTGGGGCTCGCGTCTCTGCGGTGGGAAGATAACGAGCGAATAGATCAAGTGGAAAGCAGCGATGCCCGAAAACAAGCCAACAAACGTGGACAACCCAAAAAAAAAAGGCAAGAGTCAGCAGCGGCTGCCTTAATGCCTCGTGCGCCTGTCATGGAAACACAAACTGAAACGGAGCCGCAACCCGATTCCGTTCCCGATCCAATAGCACCAATAAATGCAAAACAAACCAAGAAAAGTGGACGAACAAAAAAAAAAAGGGAAGAGTCTGCAGCGGCTGCCTTAATGCCTCGTGCGCCTGTCATGGAAACACAAACTGAAACGGAGCCGCAACCCGATTCCGCTCCCGATCCAATAGCACCAATAAATGCAAAACAAACCAAGAAACGTGGACGAACCAAAAAAAAAAGGGAAGAGTCTGCAGCGGCTGCCTCAATGCCTCTAACTCCTGGCATGGAAATACAAACTGAAACGGAGCCGCAACCCGATTCCGCTCCCGATCCAATAGCACCAATAAATGCTGCGACACCAAGTCCCAGCAGCTCGGATGACCACCAGGCTGCTTGCATGCAACTCATGAGCTGGCTGCGAGGACACAGTAGCAATCAGCCAAGCTCCAATATGGAAGACTGCAGCGGGAGCCGGCTAGGAAGTACAGTCTGTAAGTACAAGAATATCACCGAATCAATCACGGACTTCATGTGGGCTTTATGTTGTATTTGCAGCTGTTGCTAGTGAATTAGTTTTCAACAACTTGGATGACATGGAGTACGCTTTCTACAACACCAAGGAGAAGGCGACACTGGGATACATGCGCTTCCAGCCGCTGCAGCGTCGTAGAAAGAAACTTGTTAAGAGCGTTTCCCTGGTATGCATTCAACCACGTAATCAAGAATTCGTAACAATTATCTCCTTTATTCCTGGCTTAGAAATTTGTTGTTTTCTTTGGACAATTTGCCTTGGATTGCACTGTCCCGAATGTGGCGGAAAATGATCGCCGCATATTAAATATCGGTGACATGGCTGAGATCGAGAAAGGTAAGAATTGAGGCAATCGAATGGCTGGCAGTAGCTTATAATCCTACTTCTCTTTCAGGCACCCGTTTTGGGTTTTCAAATTTACTGAACGAAGTGAGTGTGCTGATGTTTATCCGCAATTAGACTTTTACATGTTACTTTTCATAGAAATATATATATTTTGTAATTTATAATGGTAATAATGCGACTGTGTTGCTATCTAGTTCGATGAAAAGTTCGCCTTTCATGGAAATAAAGTTTGTAATATTATGTATGACTCGGACCAAATGCACAGCTCGAATTCCTTTGTTTATAAAAGCTATTTTCAGCTTAAAATATATTTAGTCTTCTTTTGGCAGAAGTGCAGAATAAACTGACTTGAAATGCCATCAGGAGGATGCCTTATAGGCCTTTCCATATGTCAAGTAGTAGCTATATGCAGACTCTGTTACACATGTTTTAAACTCCACCTTACCTCGCTTCAAATACGTTCGGAAGAAATAGTTTACAATGCTGTGGCAAATAATTTGTGGACTAATGCTAATGCACTTATAGATGGGACCTCACCGGTGTACTCCAGTCTGTATGGTTAGTGGTTCGGTGTTGCTATCGATATTTGTTGATGAGTGTTGCTATCGATGATTGTTGATGAGGGCGGGTAATGTTCTTATAATTTAAACAATATGAAATATTAGTTAAAAAGTGTGGTCGTGTGTAAGAGCTTAAAAAATTATATAATGTAGTGCGACGTCATTTCATGGATTGATGTGTAATTGAAGGCTGCCCAAGAAAGCAGGAAAACAGAAGCTTGCTCCTCAAGATGTCGTTGTCAGGTCGATTAATTAACAGTCGATTTATGACCTTGATTTATGTTTCTTGCACTCCAGTCGAAAGGAATTTCATTATATATTGAAGCAAAATAAACTACTTTGAACAAAAGCCGAATCGAGTGGGTGGGTTCGGGCACTAGTCGACAATGCACAGTTTGAATTCGATATATTTTTTTGAGTTTGCAATAAACCGACGACAGGTGGCGCGACACATTTCTGAGCAAGTGCTATGAAAAAAATGCGCCTGATGGCGTCTTGGTGCACTGCTTTAATTTGATTAAATTTTTATTCTGACTTAATTTATCGCTGAATTTTGTTCCTGCTCCTATGGTTAAGTGTGAATTTATAACTACAATATAAATTGGGCTACTCACTACAACCATTTGATGGTTTACTTGGTTGTGTTCTGCACGGCAGTGGCTGCAATCAAGGCCGCCCCCTTGCCGGAGCCATCATCGGACTCAAGCAGCTCAAACTTGATGCCGGGCCGCAACAATTTGGTCATGTGGAACATAAGCAGATCGTGATAGCGAGGATGGTAGCGATACACACTGCCATCAATGCCCACGGCCACCTCGTTGATGTTCATCTTGTTGATGAGCGTCACCAAACCGCAGGAGCAGAGCTTGGCTGAGCGCGAGGAGACTGCCTCGCAGATGTACCGCAAATGCACCTTGTCCCGCACATTGTTGCCGACGAGTCCCAGCTGATTGATGACCTTGTTGCAACCCCGAAAGTCACCGGGTGAATCGCTCTCAATGTCCGAGAGGTAGCTGGTCTGAAAGTTCCACTGCGTCTGAACGCGCTCCGAATTTTCGCCGACAAAGATCTTGCCCTTGGCCATGAGATCGACCAGCACGAGGCGCACCAGTTCGCCCATGTACATGCCGGAGATGCACTTCTCGAAGGTCTGCTTGCCGGGATTGGGCGTCACCTTGTCCACCATGCGATCGTAGGGAGTGCGCACAAAGTCCAGAACGCCATTGTCCCCGAACGCACCCCACTCCGCGTTGATGATCATGTGCGGCTTGGTGCTGGTCTGGTAGCCCTCGAAGCACTCGGCATTCACCGTCTTCTCCACGTAGCAGGCATTGGAGCCGGTGCCAACGATCAGTCCGATGCGGCAGTTACGCGCCGTAAAGGCACAGGACATGAGCGTGCCCACAGTATCATTGAGAATGGCCACAATATTGATCTTTAGATCGCCGCGCCGTTCAATGGCCTCCTGCAGCAGGGCAACCACATTCTTGCCCACAACGCCCTCGCAGCTGAAGCCCTTTGTCCAGGTGACCAGCATGCCCTTGGTCAGGCCCTGCTGCTGCAGCGGAAACGAGAAAGTGAAGCCCAGGGGTAAGGGCTCACCCTGCAAATTTTGCTCCTTGCAGAACTCGGCCAGGCAGTTGGCAATAAAGTCGAAGAGATCCTTGCCGGGCCCCGACAGCATGGAGCTCGCAATGACGTAGCTCTTCGAGAGGATTCCAATGTCCGTGTTGCTCTTCAGATCGACCAGCAGCACACGGAAATTGGATCCACCCAGATCGAGGGCCAGATACTTGCCTCGCTCCTTGCCCGTGGGCAGATCCTGCACATAGCTGACGAAACATTTGATGACCGCCCGCGAGTGAGTGTCCTTGGCTAGGCCCATCTTGATCTCCTTGGTCATGCGATCGACCACCTCCGTCATTTGTTCCTGCGTCAGCATAAAACCCGCCACCGCGGCCTCCACCTCTGGGGCTATAGTTGTGGGTACGATCGTCGACATGCTTCAGCCCAAGCCGAAAACCCACGAGAAAATTAACTCAAAATTTAGGCCAAAAAACGGAGAGAAAGGAAATTTTCCGAACTGTCTCAACTGACGAGTGTTGTCGAAAGAAATAGAAATGGTATTGTTGGTTACGGGTTGCTTTGTTGTTTGTTGTGGGGGAGAATTTATATATTTACAATCCTCTACTTCCGAGTACTTTTCAGCGACTAAACAAACAAATTTATGGGTTATTTGTACACTGGTCAAGTGCCGATAAGGGTAAAAAGGTAAAGTAAAGCAGCTATCTAGTAGTTACTTATCGCTGAGGTGCATACTTGTTGTATTTGTCAATTAATCAGTGCAACAGTTGTCGTACAGATGGGAGTGGGTTAAGCTTTCAGAGCGTGCGAGAGAACACGTAGGTTTAGCAAATAAAGCTTGAATGAAAAGAGAACCCAAAGGGCTCCGCTATGGCGAGCTTTCGTGAGAGAGTTTGTGCCGTAACAGATGTCCAATGCTGAGTAGTTGGCGGAGCCGCGATCAGAGGCGAAGGATGGCACGAAAAGGAATAGAAGTAACAGCAATTATATTTTACATAGAACACATCAAAGTTCTAAACTCATACAACAATTAAGCAAAAAGCAAAAAGCAAAAACATTAAGCAAATAATTTTAGTTTAAAAATCCAATTCAAATATCTTCGACTCTCCGTGATACTTATCGGCATGTGCCAGCCCGGCCATAATGGCGGCACCCACGCCGCAGCTCTCCTGATTGACGATGTACTCGAATTTGTACTGCGGATCGGTGAGCAGTCGCGTGTACTTGTTGAGCACAGCGGCAAAGGTGGGGTTCAAACGGTAAATGCCACCATCCACGGATATGGAGATTTGTGTGTGCTGCATGCGATTGATTAGACAGGCGACGCCGCCGGCGAGGATCATGGCCGCACGACTGACGACCGTGTCGCAGATGTAGCGAAAGGCGGCCAGATCGCGATCCTTGCAGTGGCGCATGCGGAAGCGATCCATTACCTCCTGCGCCTTGGTGTAAACGCCAGGCGGATCCAGCTCGATCTCGAAGAGAGCGGACATTTCCATCTTCCACTGCAGATCGATGACTTCCAGCGGTTGTCCCACGAAGATGGCGCCATTCCGCATCAGACGCACCACAATGCGACGCGCGAGTTCGCCCAGGAAGAGCGCGCTACTAAACTTCTCGTAGATGCGAAGGCCTGGATTGGTGGATGCCTCGTCCAGGGCCCTGTCGAATTCGTTGCGTATAAACTCGAGCTGTCCACCATCGCCAAAGTGCGCCCAGTCCGTGTTTATAATCATGTAAGGCTTGTTGTCCGTGCCCACGTAGGTGTGGCAGTTCTCGACGTTCTCCACGTAGCAGGAGTTGGTGATGTTGCCCATGACTAGGCCAATACGTGTGTCCGGGTGTAGCCAGCAGAGGGCCAGCAGCGATCCAATGGCCACATTGATAATGCCCAAAATGTTGACCACCACCTCGGGGAACTTGGCCAGCGCATCGCGCAGCATCTGCACCACATCCTTGCCAATAGCGCCCGTGGCGCCAAACTCCTTTGTCCAAGCCACCAGTATGCCCACATCCAGCGAGAGTTTGTTTAGCGAAAAGGCAAAGGCAACGCCCATCGGCAGGTTCTCCTTGTCCACTTTTTTGTCCTTCACAAAAGCCGCTATGTTGAAGGCCAGAAAGTTGAAGAGCTCCATGCCACGTGCGGCGGCTATCGAGTGCGGTATAATGACACACTTGGAGCTCATGTACACATCCTTCTCGCTGCTAAAGCGCACCAGCATGATCCGACAGTTGGTGGGCATCATTTCCAGGGCCAGGAAGCGGCCACGCTCACGGCCCGACGGTAAATCCTGCACGTAGCTCAAGTAGCAGGGCACCGAGGACCGATCGTGACCCTCACGGCTCAAGCCGGCAATCATCTCACGTTCCATGATGTTGCGCACCTTCACCAGATCATCCTCCTTGGGCACAAACATTTGACAGAGCTTGTACACCTCCGGAAAGTCCAGCTCCGGCTTATAGATGTTGCTGGACATTTTGATGGAATTTCTTGCTGGAGAGTTTACTTTTTCAAGAGCTCTAAACAGGGAATGGGTTTTTGTAGCTTTATGGCAGCTAAAGCAAAGGCAAAGGCAAAAGTACATAGAAGCTTTCTAGGAATGCTGATACATGTAACTGGAAGTGTGCTGCATATGTTGTCGAAGCTTTTTAAAGCTCCTAGAAGCCACTACATTCGTTCACTACAGCAACTCCAAAGTTAATGCCGGCAGCGTCGCGTCGTTCTGTGCATGGAAAAAGATCACGGGCAGCGCAGTCGGCACAAGCGCAATCTGCACACGCGCAGCGCAAAAGCTTCGTGTGGCTTCGGCCTGTGCACAGAGAATCGCCGACACAACTTCGTATGCAGAACTGCACGGCTGACGCAGCGGCAGAGAAGCAAGAAAGCTTATGAATTTTGACTGCGTCTCTGTTGTCTGTGCATTAAAACGCACTAAAATATGTATGTGTGTGTGTCAGTCTTTCGCTTAGTTCTTGCTCCTCTCAAATATAAAACGTTGAACTTTCGGTTGAGCTTTTGTCACTGTGTGCTTTTTATTTACATACACGATAACGAGAAATGCTTCACAAAGAAATGCTTTCCTTAGTACACTAAATTCAATAGTTGGGCTCGATCGGTGTGGGGTATGTGGAGTATAGATTAAAAAATAAATGTGCATCTCTTTCAAACTTTTCTAGCTTGACCAACTTAAGGCTGCTTTCTTTTCTTATGACACAATGAATTCCGTGCGCCGCTTGTTCGCATGGCTAAATGGCTAACAGTGAAATCTCGCACTTAAACAACTAACTTTTAGAGTCTTAAAACGAGTGTGTAACAGTGGCTACTCCGTGTGATAGTAGTAGTAGACGGCGGCACGCCTCACGTGAGAAATATATCGGAGAAGTCGCCGTGCAGCAGGTCGCCGGGTCCCCAGGGATAGCAGCCATCCAGCGCATCCAACGCACTGATGCACGCCGACGGCTGCTGATCGCTGGCAAAGTCAAAGGAGTCCGTGGAGTGTTGCGCATCAAGCATGCGCAGACTGAGCTCCACATCCGGTTTGTCCAGGCAGCCGGGCAGGGGCATGTCGCCGCGACACGGCAGTAGGGACTCGCCGCTGCTCAGCAGACCCTCGTAGCCGGGACTCAGGCACTGCAGGGACTCCGCATCAGACTCGAGCAGCAGCGTGTCCAGTTCGCTGAGTCCCTGCAGACCCATTAGGCTGCCATCGGGCTCGAGCACGGGACTGCTGCTGCTACGCTGACTGCTGCTGGGACTGCGCTGGCTGCTGCTGATGTTCGAGGCGGAGGACGAGAGCGAGGCGTAGGCAGAGCTCGGCGAACAAGCAGCGCCAGCACAAGACCCGGGCGAACCTATGGACGACGCAGCATAGCAAGACTCGCCCGAGCTCATCGCTGATATTGTCGTCTGTGTGGGATGCCCCTGCTTGGCTTGCTTCTGCGTTTGCCGTTTGCTGGCCGCTGTCGCGGACTTCTTGCTGGCCGCCTTGGACTTGGCGGTTTTCTTCGCTGCCGCTGCCGCTGCCGCTGCTGGCACTGGCAGCTCCACCTCCAGCTCTGGTTCGGTGTCCACGCTGATCAGCGCCTCTCGATTGGCGCTCTCCTCCAGACACTCGCCAATGAACTCCCGCTCATAGCTGGGATCCTCCATGGAATCGCTCAGCATTTGTATGTACTTCATGGCCAGACGCAGCGTTGTGATCTTGGTCAGCTTCTCGCTGGCATTTGCCGCATCCTCGCTGGTTATGGCTTGGGGCACGCTGTGCCGCAGCGTCTCAAATGCAGTGTTGATCTCCCGCATGCGTGTCCGCTCCCTGGCATTCGCCGTCTTGCGGCGATACTTGCTCAGGGGCGGTGCTTTCGTCTTGGCCTTGCTCGCGGAGTTGTTCTTCTTTGGCCTTTTGCTTGTCGTCGCCGGCACAAGGCCATCCAGCTCCAGGTCGAGGTCGGGCAGCTCCTCATCTACGGATGCGCTGCGCTTCTGTCGCTTTTGGCGCAGGGAATACTTTTCGCCGCGGGCACTCGTCGCCTTACGCTTGCGGGAATCCTTCTTCGAGGGGCTGCTGCTGTCCATGTTGAGGTCGGCGTAGTTGTGCAGCTCGTACGTGTTTGACTTCATCTGCAAGAGAGACAAACGTTAGTTCGTGGTTGTCTTCAGCCCCAAGCCCAACCCAAACCCTCTGCCAAGCCAAGGCAATTAACAATTTTGTTCTAGATTGTCTTTTCCCCCACCAACAAATAAAGCTAGACCCACGGGCTTATGTCAACTCTTAGATGGCTGCTGCCCAATGGCGCGTAACAAAATTTCGTGGCGGTAACTTCCGTAAACGGCACTCAAAAATTGCGTTCAATGAACTGAAGTCGATTCTTGAGTAGTTCCTTCTTTGTCTGTGAGCGCGCTTCCGCCATAAAGCATAAAAACCACTGAAGCCGAAAAACGCATCGACCCAAAAAAAAAAAAAAAAAGAACAAAAATACTCGTACAATTTATGGCTGGGAACTACTTCGAATCTCGCAAATGTTACACAAAAAATCAAACTAAAATTGAAAACGAATTAAGCAACGTTCGATCATTGCGCCCACGCAAGATTGAGCCCTGGAAAAGTATTTCCCAATATGTTGGACATCTAGAATTGAAGTAAAGAAGCACGAGGCTTGTGGAACAGTTTGGGCAGCATCATTTGGTGTGGAATGTGCCTAAAGAGCGCTCGTATTGAAGCTGATTTTAGTGACACTTTTTGACATACATTTGAGAGCATTCTAAGAGCTATTTTAAGTGAATTATTGATATAGAAATTGCACATAAAATGTAGCATTTTAATCTATAGAGTGAATATCTTTTGGCATTAGAAACATTTTTTGTTCCCACTGCAAAGACAGCCCAAAAATGAATATTAAACCCCCTCCTGAGACCAGCAACCACAGCAACAAAACAATCATCTATGTGGTGCTCCTCCACTACAATGTTGACGAATGTTTTGTGTTTTTTGTTTTTTGTTTTTTGTTTTTGCTGCTGTGAAAGTTGTTTGTGTAAATGCAAAAAGTTGAGTTTATGGTTTCCCCCTTTTGTTGCTTTGCGGTAGGTCAAAACTAAGCCCTAAAAATATGTATTTTCCAGCGCTTTTCACTCGCTTACTTTTCTTTCTCTAGCCGGGAATGTGTTTGCACTGCTTTGTGGTTGCTGTGGTGGGTAGAGGGGTGGACAGGGGGGAGCGGTAGCGGTAGCGGTAGCGGTAGCATTTAATGAATGCATTTTAATGCAAGAATTAAGTTACATGAAAATGTAACACGAAGCCAACACAGCGTCATCGTAGCTGCGAGATGTGAACAACATTTTGCCACCACCCAAACAGAAAAGATTCGAAACGCCCTTGCAATTGTGCTGCCTTGGCCTCATAAATATCTAAAACTCAACTGCACAGAGGTGTAAAGCGCAGATTGATTGCAAGTCCGACAAGTCTTGATCTAAGGAGAGCAGCAGCAGCAGCAGCAGCAGAATGCAGCGTCTGTCTCTCGGCCTGCCTGTCAGGCCTCCACTTAAATGGTCAATTTAGTGCAGATTGTCCAAAATTGGCACTAGACGTTACGATTCTTGTCCCGGCCCCAGGCACCCGTTTGACACTTGCCGCATAGCTTTGACCATTCAAAGATCTTGCTCTTGGCGTGGCCTAAACAAGTTGTGGTCTCTCGCGCTGCACTTTTCTTCATTCACCGTTAATGTGCGGTGGGACACCAGTGAAGAGAAAAATGAGCCACGGATGCACCAAGAAAAATGTGGATTTTGCTGGAAATATTCCACTGATAAATCCACCCACTCACCGCCCAAACCTGCGCATTTGTGTGCAGCTATGCCAATGGTTTTCCAATCTGCACTGATTAGCAGGTTGTAGCGCATTCAAATTACATCTTTTTGCTGCTGCCCCACAAAACGTTGCCACGTTTCAGCACGTGGAAAAAAGCTTTTCACTTTGCTTTACGTGTCGGCCGACGTGCGTCTCGCCACTGATTTTTTCAGTTGTAATTAATTTTTGCCACGCGATGCAAAGGAAAATGGAAATGCTGCAAGAAACTGCTGCAAAAGTACTTAGCGCGCTAAAAATGAGAGCCATGCGCACGTGTTGAATGCTCTGACAAGGCTGTATTGTGTTTTAATATAATGTTAAATATATATTTACTTGATGGTTTTCCATGATGGTTGACGGAGCAAAGACTAGACTTTGTTTCAATTTATTGTAAAACACAAATAATGATCACAAATTGGACAAACTTCAGCAAAATTAACATTCGTTCGTGTTCTTTCTTTGAATTAGAGATGGCAAGCCAACGATGACGGCAACATCGATAGCCTCTAAGCAATAATATCGATGATTGAGTAGGCAAAAATAGAGACAATTGGAGAAACAATTGACGGAAGCAATGCAAATTATATAAAGAAAGTTGTATTATAGTTTATTTTGACGAATATTTAACATATTCAATCAGCTCACAATAATATTTATTTTCATTACGCGCACTGTACAAAAATCAACTACAACTTTGCCAACTCTAAGCCAGACCTAAAGCCAATGCCAAGCAGCATGAGTGATGATTCTTTTGGACAAGAACTTCCTGGGCATAATCAGAACCCCAACCCCGAACAACCTGCAGCCGGAAGAGTAGCGGCCCAAAACTTTTTGCGACATGCAACAAACAAGCTGCAATTAAGTGCACAACACAGAAAAATGTGCAACTTCTTCAGCGTAGCCCGGGGCGCCCTTCCCCCACCACTCATTTGCATGCCAGAGCAATGGGAAAACGACGTGAAAATTACCGAGTTCCGTGTGCTCAAAGGGGGAGGGAGTCCGTCAGCAACAAATTGCATGCGATTAAAAGTATTCGCGGCTAATAAACGTTTGTTCAGCACACAGCAACAAGCTGCAAGCGGCGCTCCTGTGATGTCAGTAGCCCGCATTTCAGGATCCGGATAGGATAGGGATGTACCGGAAGGACGGAAGGAAGGAAGGAAGGAAGGAGTGAGCCGGAGTGTGCACCAAATGAATGCAGTAGCCTCGGGGGGGGGGGGGGGGGGGGGGGGGGGGGGGGGGG